ATATATATATATATATATATATATATATATATATATATATATATAATTTTGATCTTTAATCATTATTATTAATCGCGATATTGATATTATTATGTCTATACAATATTAATATATTGTTCATGTAATATTTTTGTAAATATATATCTTATAACGCGTGCAAAGTATGTAATATAAATCAACATATATGTAGCTTTCTTCTCCCTTAATTATATATATGTGAGCTATGGAAAGATCATACTAAAAAATATTCTACATTTCTCTTTGGAGGTAAAATTACTTTTATAAACAGATCCAATTTATTATGACGTTGTTCCAATTTGTTATTACAATATTAGAACAAATTACATATTTTATATAATTAGAATAATTACATAAAATACGTTATAGAGAATAATCTATGTACATTTTTATATCTTCATTACGTGATCGATTCTGGTGTGTTATTTTGAAATAGAAGTTGTCTTATATAATCATACTTTTCTTCCTGCGTTTTACGATTTTCCCACTCGATGTGTGATACCTATGAAATAATTTAAACATATTTATTTAATTTGCTATTCTAATTAATTAGCACAATATAACTTTATGTTAATCTTTTAAGTTTTCATATGGTCGACCTAGTCAAAATATCAGTGCTAATAATATCTCTTTACATTAATCTATATTATATATTATTTTATAGAATAATTTTTTTAGAGAGAAAATCTTTCTTAAGCTATGGTAAAAAATAATCAATTTAAAAACTTTTAATTAGAGACTTGCGTCAATCCAAACAAAAATAATACTTCCTATTTTCATACTATTCTCGAAACGTCATAGTTATTTTTAAATAACTTACCATAGCCGGCGTGTATCCAATTTTGCCCAGCTGCCTTATTTTTGCAGCTAAGATTCCAATGGGTAAGCTTGTGTCCCTTATTACAACACCATAGTATCCTACTATAAGCGCAATCAATCTAGTATTCTTTAGGTCTTCCTTGTGTATCCATTTAATCTCTCCCTTTTTGAATTTGGACAGATGATCCTTGATGGGTAAAAGTCGATTCTGTTCGTCCAGGACAAAGATAATGTCCGGTATCGTAAAGTGCGGTAACGGCCGATCAAGCACTATATCCGACGTATTATTGAACATTTCCTATTTAAGAATATCCTGTTAGTGTCTCAACAATGAGAGATTTTACCTCTAAATGGCGACAATACCATCATAAAATATCAATAATAATCTGTACCTGGCATGTTTGCAGTACGCGTGTGATGGACATATTTGCTCGACTCGATTCCGCGGATTGGAAATTCAGGAAATGTTGCTGCAAAGTGACAGAATCTATTATTATATACCTATCATTATATTTATCATATCATTTTTAGTCTATGGAATACACAATAAGGAATATGTGGCGATATTTCATATTATTAACAATATCGTTGGTACCTTCCTCATTAAAAAAAAAAAAATCATCGCTTAGAACATCAATAATAGCAAATTAATGAAGAAAATATGAACTTTAGATTAATCTCAAAGTAGATGACATTATATTATATCAATTCACTGTTACAGCTATTTAATGGGTGAAACAAATTGATGACTTGTAATAATTTGTTTTCCTTTAAATATGGTGTGCCTCATTCTAATATAGCCTTTGTTAACTTATGGGTTTACTCAATTGTCACAAACGATACTTTTTTCAATGATTCAATATACCTTATCTATCCCCGACATAAAGAACAAAATATCGACTACAAGTATCGTGAGTTCCTTCGCATACCTTTAACATTTGATCGCGCACATAAGGTCGAAGAAGATGCCCGTCGTAATGTGGCACTTCCACTTGAAGACTGCAATCCAACACGAGATATTCTCGCGAAACAGAATGGAATTGTCCATGGCACGACTTGTGTATCTGTTCAGGCATCATGATATGTTTGATCAGATCCGTGGGGTATACATTCACGTATGTTAGAAATCCTAAAATACGCGAAATCACATGTGGATGCCTATTGGAAAAAATGGAAAAAGTGATATTGGAGATATCACAAATGTTTCATTGATTCTTGAATGTATTGGGTTAGTTAAAAAATTCGACTTGATTTTCGGCCTTTTTCGATAATAATCAGCTAACTTATATGGTAACAGTAGTATATGATTATTGCCAAAATGTTACAGAGGAAAGATCATAGACAATTACGATCACTTAGTAAATAAGTAATCTGTATCCATTGAATGCTATAGTCAAATTTCAGTCGAATTAAAAATCGAACCAAACTTTTTGAATGACTCAACTGATATTCCGTGTGATGAAAAAATTTTATTGTCAAACCACACTTACTCCTTCATCTCGTGCGCTCTTCTCGTGTACCATGTAGACCGCAATTCTTCAACCATGTTATGATAAATCTTATTGCTCGAGTCAATGTTGAAAGTGGTGAAAACATACATAAATCTCTCAAAGTCCTTTATCCTCGCGGTCGTTAACTCATTGTTCAGCCTGAAATCACATTGTAGATATCAACTCAACATCTCCAAAATTAAAAATAAAAAGAGAAAAGATCTCAGGTCAAATAAATGAAGGAATGAGGAAAGAGCATTTAAGAGCCAGGCACAGAGAGAAATGTAGTATATTAAGTAGTAGAAACTTATATTGTAGGTTTTTTCTAATGTAATATTTAGTTTGCACCATATTCATATGTGACTCTTAATGCTCCTATTGAACGCTCTTTCCTCGTTCCTTCATTTATTTGATTCAATATCTTCAATTTATGGTTTAGTCATGATAAGATTTACCTTTCAATTAGCCTATTCAGAAACTCCTCATGGTACAGCGCTATCCTCGCGGTGGCGTGCGCGATATGATTCAATGTCATCAGTGTTAACCGAGGTTCTATTGGTGTTATTCTATCTACCAACTTTTTGATCGTGTTGATTTCTGTGAGTTGCATACTGTGCCTAAAAACAAAATATCAAACATAGAGTTGCTGTATAATGCAGAAAGAAACCAGTTTCAAGGGAAATAATTAAATTTTATGATATCCATATCAACTATTATAGTTGCCACTTAATCCTCTACTGTCCAAATTAAATATTTCTCATGCTTAAGCAATTTTTCATGTACATAAGATACTTAAAACTAAAGTACTCAACACATATAAGGTGAAATCTTATTTTTTCATTTTTTATTTTTCTAAAATAATCTGATGAAGGAAACATATAAATGGTTTGCGTAACAAAACAAGAATCATTTCCATTCAAACTGATGACACTGTACTTGCGAATTTGCGCAAATACTCGTATCTCTTATAGACCTTATCTTACCGTATCAACTTGGCGATCGCTCCAATACTAACATTGTCCATGTGATCTAGATTATTTGTGGTTGCCGTTATGATGCGATTCAGGAGTTTGTTACTTTTGATCCGCGAGCCAGTCTTGAAGAAGCCCAATGCCGCTATACCTATCTCATTGATGGTCAAGTCGTCGAAGCATTGCTCCAAGCGATACTCCAATTCGTACATGTTGATTGGTGGCTTACGGCACACGTTGAGGAAGAACATAACCTGAATCAGATGGTGGGGTTCCAGTTTGTGCGGCTTACTTCCCAATTTCTTGATGGCATGCCAGATGTACACGCAATCACGCGCGTGTGTCATTTCGTAGAGTATGTCGCAAAGCGCGAGCATGTTGTCGATCGACGAATTCATGAAGCGCTTCACGCACTCGTGGTTCAGCTGATGGCAAAACTTCTTATAGAAGACGTGCTGATGGTAGAGCGGCTGGAACGGCATCAGTTGCGATATCAACGTCATCAACTCATTATTGTTCAGCTTCTGCTGGCGGTCAAGCAGCGTGACGAAGACGTTCTCGTACAGACTCAAGTCGATTCTCTCGTCGTTGTAGCGAATGTTGTAGCTGAGCTTCTTGACACCGGACAACAGTTCACGGTCGGTCTTCTGGCACCAGTCCTGACTCAACAGCTCCTTGGCATCTTCGTTGGTGACGAGAGAGTGCGCCGTGTTTTGCGGCGCGATGCTCTTCTTGTACTTGGTCGAATTTAAGAAGAGGTTACGCGCATACACGTTCTCCTGTATCAGTTCCGGAAGAGTCATCGGCTCATTTCGGTCATCCGTGTCGATGGCTTTCCAGTAAGACGCGAGGGTGCTGGACTTACAGCCTGACAGCGCGACCAACCGCTGCGGATGATCGCGCTTCTTCGATAACCTCGACAACATCGAGTACGTGCATTGCAGCCGGCTCAGCCTCTGTGTAAACGCACTCATCATGGCTCGCTCAACGAGCTATCGTGCACAAACCACACCTAGGAGATGCCTCGGGACAATTCGTCCGCCACGGGAACCTCGTCCAATCAATTAACGTTGACGCCGAGCTGGTGGCCGAGCTTCCGTGAGCCCTGCTCGGAGGTTTGAGGTTATGTTTCACTGCGCAACAGTTCCCTCTGTCTTTTTCGCTGAACTCTCTGAACTAGTGCAGACACTTGTGATCTGTTCTTTTCAGCTGCACTGCTGAACTGGTGCAATAAGTTAGAGTGAGAAAAAGTATATTTATCTCATTTTAACTTATTGCACTAGTTCAGCAGTGCAGCAATAGAAAACAAACCCTTGGTCTGTTCTTTTCAGCTGCACTGCTGAACTGGTGCAATAAGTTAGAGTGAGAAAACATAATTGTCTCACTTTAACTTATTGCACTAGTTCAGCAGTCAGCTGAAAAGAACAGACCAACTGGGAACGGTCCAGCAGGCGCTGCAAATGCTTTGTAGCGTTTTTACTTCTTTGTCTTTCTTCATTTGAATCCGAGGAATAGAACAAGAGGGAGAAACGCTGCGTAGCATTTGTGGGACCGCACCCACTGTACAATAAGGGTGCCTTTTCATGTAGCGAATTTTTCGCTGCGAATGATTTGTAGCGAGTAACGAATAATTCGCCGCGAATAGCTTATGAGCGTCATATGTTGCGTTTTAACAACATGGAGGAAAATTCAATTATTGATTTGATTACTTGATATAACCAAACATTATTAAATTATGTGCAAATAATGAATTATTATCAAAATATCCGAAAAAGGAAAGCAGCTGCAGTTATGGCTATACTTTTACATAAGAAAAGAAGATATTCAAGAAAGAAACATTGGGTAGCACCTATTTTTTAAGATAGAAAAGAGCATGGATTTTTCTCATGCTACCTAAACTTCTTTTAAAAGATTTAAGATCTCATAATTATATATACGTATGTCTGCAAGTCAATTTGAAAATTTAATATTCATAATTGAAGCAGACATATTTAAGCATTATTACATTAGAGAATCTATAGATGTTATTAAGGTGTCAACAGTGATTATCTTAGCGAATATTCGCTAAAAGCTAAATTTCAGGGAACAGTTACTCGCTAGCGAATAGCAAATGACCACGTGACTTTCAATCGCAGCGATTTATTCGCTACATGAATTTGCACCTTAAGTTAGAGTGAAACAAAAGCTACGTTTTGATATTCATTACGGAAAATCTATGTCACATGAAAGTTCATGTCACATATTTTATAGATTTTCAGTACTAAATGTCGGAACGCAGCCAAAATGTATTTGTCTCATTCTAACTTATTGCATCAGTTCAGATAATTGAGCTAAAAAAACAGACCTCTCTCTCTCTCTCTCTCTCTCTTTCTCTCTCTTAAGGGATGTGTTCCGATATTCACTGCCAGTATTGAAAATCTATAATTCATGTACATATATTATAGATTCTCAATACTGGCAGTATGAATATCAGAATGCAGTCTTTAGGTCTGTTCTTTTTAGCTGAACTGTCTGAATTGGTGTATACTGGTGCAATAAATTAAAGTAAGAATATATTTTGTTTTACTCTAATTTATTGTACTAATCTACACCAATTCAAATAGTTCAATTAAAAAGAACAGACTTACTGTCTGGATCTATCTAAAACTTAATCCTCAACCAATGGGGATTCGTGTAATATCCGTTTCTACCAATTTTGATTAACTTAGCCGACTAGTTATTCCAATGGAATTGACCAATCGCATTTCTCGTTAGTCAGAATTGATAGATGCAATATGTCAGTTCCGTTGGAATATCCAGCCAGGTTAACTAAAGTTAGTAGAAACAGGCATAAGTGAGAGTTCATTGATTGAGCCTAGCTCATCATGTACTAATCACAAAATCTGCCTCTTCTATGTGTAGAAACTTGAAGATTGCCTCAAATAATGTAACATTCGTATTATAAATGTACTGCGCAAAGTTGGCCGCAAAACGACAATGACTGAACAATGAATCGATTCTCGATATTCGATTCATCGTTCGAGTGTAACCGATCGATTACCGTTCGATTTTTTCCAAATCTGGATTGCCTCTCACAACCAACTTATATGTATGTCTTTAGCAAAGTCAATTAGATCGTAGGAGTCTATTAATAGTTATCGCTTGAAACTTATTTCATGTGAGATACTCAGATTTGAATTTAAACTTTGCTAATCTTTCAGCCAAATCGCGATAACAAATATAAATAGCAACAGCAAATGTCATTATGTGATTCAAATAAACAACTCAAATCTAACTCTAAATTTATATTTGAGTATTTCACATGAGACAAGTCTCAATTAAAGAGAAATTTCAAGTAACATCGCCCTTGTTCTGAAATTTTTGTTTTATTTTGGTCTGAAATATTTATCTGAAGAGAGTTTAAACTTAAATTAAGGTTTGGTCGACACATTGATAGAAGTGGATATTAGCTGGCTTAGCTTAGTTTAATTTAGTTAAACTAAAGTTCAGTTTAATTAGTTTCGGCGTGGCTACACCAAACTCTTGATAAACTTACTAATAGTCTTACTAATAGTTAAATCATATATCTGTCTTTGTTTATTTTGAAAGAAATGTACTTATAATTAGTTTAACTGGGATCCTTATTTTTCAGAAGTACAAAGCATTGTCATATTTAAAATACCTTTAATTTTTGTTAACAACTGTCTACTGTCTACTACTACTAATAACCCAGATAGCACAAACGTTTAAAAGATGTCTTTTAAATGTGTCTAAAAGATAATTTGTTTGTTTTGGACGTCTGTTTTAAATGTCTTTTAAATGATCTGGGACGTATGATACTCTTGTGTTGTCCGGAGATGATACAAAATTTACGTATTTATAAAGAAAGATGTTACAAGCTGCTGTCGGTTAACAAGTGTTAATTGCTATTATCATTATCATCGAGGCTCTCTGTGTAACATGATCATCGAATTATTCGTCGCAACATGTTCAAATATGTGGAATTTGAAGTAACGTTAAATCAAAGGCTAATCAAATATCGAAGTTTTTTGACAATTTTTTACAAAAAATGTTACAGGTGTCGCTCCTCTCGTTCTTAGTCACAATGCATTCATTTTTTAAAATAATGATTGCAATATGTTTTACTTTCAAAATTTTCTATTTATTACAAAGCGCCGTTTAACTCAATTCGATATTGCGATATGTAATCGCACATGGACAATAATTAATGTAGAAACTTAGGCGAGAAAGCAGATTTGCATTTATACCGAATTCGCACTTTCCCGAATCTCAATTCGGCGAGTCAAAATACGATAATGGGAACGGAACAGGCAAAAACGATTGTACTGCTGAGATTCAAAATAAATCTCACACCAGCAATGTGACTTTTTCGGTAATAGTGTTTCTTTATCTTTCAATTAATTGGTGCATTTCTACTGGTACAGTGCAACAATTTCTGTCGAAAGAAGCAACTCACACGGAAACCCTGACACGTATTCACAGATGGAGAGATATTGAAGCGTGCTCTGTATTTAGCTGGGTAATGTCGAATATAGCGCCTACTATAGTTACGCGACGGAGGAAGTCTAAGAAGGTCGCGTGTGAGAAACTATGCTCAAGAGTTACATTCGCACTTGAAATCTCAAATTATATACATACATATATACGTATGTATGTATGTATAATATACCTCTCTGCGATAAATTAATAACGTCATTAAATTGCTAAGATTTGCAAAGCGACGAAAATGTATGTGTCGCAAGAAGCTCACATTGTCGGAAAAAATATCGAAAATAGACGCGTTCACGTAATTAGCAAATGACATAATGTCCATAATTGGTACACAAATGATTAATTATGTTCGTTTAACGCGCGTTTGTTGCATACATTAGCATTGCTGATTAGGAGGAACTTGCAGCAAAGCGCGCTCGTAGCTTGACGGAAAGCGCCTATATTTGGCGTCGTTTATGCACGCTACGCTCAATACGTAGGTGTGAACGGACCCTCGTTAGTCATTAGGCCAAACGGATCGCTCCAATTGCATCGTGTTACACGCCTGTGATGAGGCTGATTATCATCCAGTAAGTAAACGTGCTGCAATAACGCATGCGAGCGAAAACAGTCGCAGCAAAATCTCGTTCGAGCTTTATCACGAAGGATACCAACGTCCGGAGGATATTGCCTTGGCGTGACATCCTGCCACAAGAAGAGGGAAAAGCCTGCCCTTATCCTGGATTGAAACCAACAGATGTCTCAGTTCTCAGTAATCTCGGTTATCATTGAGTTCTGGTAAAGCAAGAATTCTTCCAAGTCTTTTTCGCACGGAAGCGTCTTACATAAATATTGACTTGGAATATTCTTGCGCGCGAATGTCCTCGTAACGTCTGTGATAACAGAAGAGGAACGATACCGACCGAATCCAAACACAACAGTAAATATGTATCTATAAGGAAATTATCGTATAATATTTCTCTAATAAATGTTTTAATCGAAGAGATTACCGGCTAATTTCTTTTTTTAATCTAGAAAGAGTAAAATCGATTTAGGTAATAAATATTTAACAATGTCAACGTGACAACATTTGCCTATCGGAAACGAATGATTCTATTAACCATCGGAATTCTTTCTGAAGTATTAGAAGGTGATCAAACAGGAATTAGGGTAAATATATCATTACACGTACAAAAATATTTTCGAGATATGCAGGTGTTGCTTATCCCAAATCTCTCGCCGTAAAGGACGAAAAATATAAAAACTTTGTTGTTCGTGTCATTCACGTTAATTAAGCTAGTTTTGAATGTAAAAAAAGTGATTTATTCTCGTATACTTAGACCTCGTGCGTGCGTTCGCGATTTATATTCTCAGAATAATTCAGAATAACTCGGCGCTCGGAACGAGGATAGAAATGCTCGCGTTCACGCGACGCGCTACACGTTCAACCTCGTGAAACGTGTGCGTACGGTGACCTTGATTTCTGAAGCCGTGAAAACACCTCGCCGTCGCCTCGGGTCAATTAAACCAAGCCACCAAGTCACTGACTTGGTTCGCGCGGCCAATTTCTCCTGCACGGTCTGCGACGTGAGAAACGAAGTAATCTCCATATTCAGTCATTTGTTTAGCGCTATGTTAAAAAGAAAGTATCTATTACTCATACAAGACGCGGACAATTATCGCGGCTTTGTCGCGAGTTTTACTTCACGGTAGAGAAACTAAATAAATTTGACATTACAAAAAGGCATTATGTACACACTCTCGTGTTTCCCGGAAAAATTAGTAGATTTAAATGTAACTTTCCAGCGAGAAAGAGAAATAAAGATAGAGACAGAGAGAGAGAAATTATTCTGAGATTTCGAATCTATACGAAACTCTGCGAAAATTCCACGTAGAGATGACTAATTCAGAGGGACTGTTCCGCGCAAGGAAACGCTAGGATGCCCCTTTCACAAATGTAGACGGCCCATTAGGTCAGGTCGAGTCATTTATAGATGCTGTGAATCGAGGTGGGGCAATTACTTGGTTGCACTACGCCGTTTTTCGATGCGTAACAGCGCCATGGAGTTGTTTCCGTGAGCTTCTACATGGGGTTCGCCGCGTTGCACCTCCATCCTCCCTCGCTTTGGGCGTGGTGCCCGCTGCAGACGTCTCTCATCGATTTCTCCACGACCACCAAACACCATGAAGTTGAGGCAAGACGCCGTGCGAACCCCTGCACGCCGCGCGGCTGCTGCAAATTTGTAATTATGCAGTTACGCATTGCTGACTACGACAGCAAGCACGTAATTATGAACAGCCGCGATTACTTTTGCAATGAAAAGCGGCAATTAGCGCAATAAAACCGCGGCGAGGCGCCGTTCAAGCCCCAAGTCCACGGTCGCGAATTACAGTCGTTAATAATTTACAATTTGTACGAGGGGATCGCGCAGGTAAGTACTTAAGTAAGTCACTTTGCTTTAAGAAACCGCGCGATCGCCTTTTCGGATCGGAAACGACGATCACGCCTCAGTGACATTGGAACACTCGCACGCGGCTTCCTTACGTCATCATTTTGCGTTCTTATTGGGATGCTTGTGTATATAACGGGGAGACAGGTGTCACGCAGGAAGCAGGTTCTCTTCTGGGTCGATCCCCCCGGTGGCCTCCTTCGGACATCGGCTATCTAAACCGTACCAATCCACTTTTTCGTACATCTCAAGGAGAGAGCAGCCGTTCGTTGAGAGATGAGAAGCAGTCATGATTACATATCGAACTTATCGGATGAGCGGACGAGCTGGGGAACATGCTAGACGGTGATTTAGTGGACTCCTGCAACGAACACCTGCGAACAAGTACCTCGAAGGCGCTGGGCGAGAGGCGATTTCAGGCGAAGATCTCTACACATACACACGAGCTCGTGTGTAAAATATATATATCCGCGATTTCGGCACGTTACACGCATCGAGACTGGCGCCTGCCATTCCATTTTCTTCGACTCGGCACGCGATTCCGGGGTATCCGCGTCGAATTCTCTCGCTGTCAAAAGTGCAACGCACTCGGGAACCTACATGATCCGTGCGAATCAAAGCACGAAGGTATCGTCAAGCTGTACGTGCAAACTTGCATTTGCCATTGAAGACCCTTTTAATTACACTTTTAATTACTAAAAACTGACTTTCAATTATTAAAACTGAGAAAAGGATACGTGAACATTCATTCATAGAATATAAAATTCACTCGCAGGGAAAATCTCTATCTTACAGAAAAGGACTTTTTATTTCACAGTAATTGACTCTACGTTCCACAAATGAGAGTTTTCAAATATTCGTTTCTCAGTGTGGAAGCGTTGTCGTAACAGTTTTCACAGTCGTCAAGCAGATTTCGATTGTAAGAGAGTAATGAACAAAACCGTCACTTGGAAGTGAATGATACGGATCTAGATTTGCGAGATCTGATTTCCAGCTCGCGTATTCTGATTATGAGCGTGGGAATCGCACGGGAAAAATTCACGGAGAGCAGCACGTCTGCGCGCTAAGAACGCTCCATTCGCGGCTAATTCACCCGTGCAAATAATTGCTAAAGGGACAATTTAGCGAAAGTTATCGAGAAGCCATCGGGGGCGATCTCACGTTACGCTCGGCCCCTTTTCGCATCTTCTTTTTTGCCGTCTCGTCCCACCCGTCGCCGACGGGCGACGCGACGCGACAAACATCTTTCTACGAGAGGCATGCACGAAACTGTATGCTCGCCATGTCCCAGCCATTCACTCAACAGCAGCAGCAGGCTTTGCCTGCAGTTTCATTCAACACATTGTCTCGACCGGTAACGGCGATACATTGAATGGAATCGGAAGCTATAATTATTTCTCGTATTATCCGTTGCGAGCTCTCTGCTATTCCGTAATCTTCTTGGAGACAAAACAGCCGTGGAGAATGTCAGTGGTATCGAATGGTCTTGTGTTTCATGGCGCTTTCGATCGCACAGTCGAGGCGACTCGGCGATGACTCATTTTCGCGCAGCCCGAGACTTTGAGTTTCCTTCTCCAGCGTTCTCTGAAATAAATAAAACCGCGTTAACAATTGTCATTGCGAAATGGCAGTGGATGTTTCTTTTTAGACAGTAACGCCGCACTTGTTCATATTCGGGCAGCACAAACCTCTAAACCTTAATCTACAATGTACTCTTTGCTTCCTGTTTCTTGCTCTATATCTTTTTCTGACTTAAAACTTAAAGTTTAAATCAGAAAGAGATAAAATAAAAAAACAGGAAACAAAAAACATTGTAGATCAAGCTTAAAATATTAAATATCTCTCAAATTCGGTTGTATCAACCGAATGGTAACTAACAGTTAAGACATACATCTATTTTTGTTTATTTCGAAGAAGAAACGAAGATAGGCGTATGACTTAACTGTTACTTATTAGCTTATCACTCGTAATAAGTTGATATGACCTAACTTTCAAAACATCTTACATGTTAGACATCTTTTAGATCGTTTAAAAGTTTGCGCCGTCTCCCCAGACAATACTCAGATAATATACTGCTCGATAATATACTTATTTCATTACAAAGGAAGGGAGTGCAACGCGGTTCAGCTGGAAAGAACAGACCCGACACATCGGTAGCGATTACACTGGCGTCGAGATTAAACCGCGACTAAACGTTGTAGTTACAGTTGCGTCTCGGGAACGCGAGTAGAGAACTATCCGCCTTTCTATGCACCGTCGGTTCCTAGGAGATACACCTGTCCTACTTTATCGCCGTATGCATCGAGGACGCCGCACTTGGCCTAATCTCGACGTGGACGCAAATTCGCGCGTAATATCGCGGCGCAGACGTCGTGTTTGCGCAGCGCGCGTCTTATCGCGCGCGTTTATCCGTGAAGGCGACTCGACAAAAGACTCGACGTGTACTCGCGTGCGATTGACGCCGATGCAGTTCTACACGGAGGATGGTCGTTTTTGGCTATACACCGGCCATACATAGATCTCGGCGACGACGGTTCGGCCGTGCCGAGCCGTGACCGCGTTTCAAATCCTTGACTCTTTCGCGCGAGGACCCGTTGATCGCGGCCTCTGGAAAGAGAGTCAAGAACGCGAATGGCAACGTGTACGTACGCGAACGCATTCGTTTTGCCGGTTGTCTTAGCTGTTCTGGGTTAGAACCGAGTAAGCAAGGCCGCATCCCGAGCACCCAACGTCATTCTAAATCTCCTTCGAGCGCGTAGATCGCGCCGACACGTCGGCACATCGCTCGCCACGTACTTGAGATAACAGTTTAGATCGATAAATCGACCGGGGTATCTAAAGTACAAGTCACGGTATCGGAAACTAATGTACCATCTTCATCCGCGATCCCCGATACGGCTCGTTAAGCTAATTAGGAGGAAACGTTAGTCAACGGACCGCTTCTGCGATTCTTAAACGGCCGATATTAGCGTCGCGTTTTGTGACGGATTCTTTAGACGCGGGAGAGAGGAGGAGAGAAAGAGAGAGGGGGAGAGAGGACTGCTAGCTCAGCGTAACGTTCCACTCGCATGACGTGACGTGACGTTACTTGGTTGGGGTTGACAATGAGTAATCCGCGCGAATGTGTCATGTTCCACGGGCGAAGGGATACCGCCGATCGATCGATTCTGCGAGCGATTTTTCTCTCCGTGGGACATACACGCGATACGAATGTCGCCGTTCATTAATATCCAAACTCGGCCGTTTGTTTGCTCGAAGAATCTTCCATGAGAGCAGAACGAAAACATTTGTTCGGGCAAATTACTTGGCAGGCGCGCCGCGTCGCGTCGCGCGAGGTGTGTAACGATACGATCGGAATGCAGCGCGGAATTAATCGCCGACACGCAGATTCGACTTGTCGATTTTACAACGAAACGAAATCACCACTAAATATAGCGATTGAGTATCATTGTCTGAGATAAAAGAACCGATGAACGTATACCTAATCCTGGACATTCTTGTTTTGGTCTTAAAATATGAATATTTTGGAGCTTTCAACGTAAAATATGTATACAAGTATTGAGTAGATATATACGTTCTATGTTAAACATTTAAGTATTCGTATTTAAAGACCGAAATAATAAGAATGGATTAGTACGTGTTCGGGAATTGGTACTTTTATCTTATGGCCACTCGGAGGATTGCGTCAACAACGACGACCCTGTCGCGACGATAACGGACGAAATCGCGTCTAGGACTGATGTTTGTTTCCGTAATTCATTAGGTGTACGATAGCAAGCGGTAAAACAGACTCTGTGCTTACCCAGTCGAAAATAAAACGGCCGCTAGCTTGCTGGAAGCTTATTATAGCACACTTAAAGCATTCAGGAAGAGTCCAAGTATAATCAGCTTCCTGATTCAAGGTATGCGATCGCTTTATTTACGACTAAATAGGATCGTGGCACGCAGGAAGTGCGTGAATAAAAAAGTAAAACTCAGCAGTAAGAAACTCGACTGATCACAATCTGTTATTCTTAAGGTGACTAGACGTCCCGATTTTTTCGAGACAATCCCGATTTTTCACTCTTTGTCCCGAATTTTTTCGAGTGCTATTCGGGACACCGATTTGTCATCATTTTCAATGATTGTGAAATAATTTTCGCATTGTTTAACCCCCCTCCTCCCGCTTCACACACTTATGAAGTGTCCCGAAATTCAGGGCTGGGAAATATGGCACCTTATTATTCTTGAACCATGAGAAGAATCATCAACTGCGACTGGTCGATTCGCTCAAGTTTCACGGCAACTACGTTTTCCTGCCTGCCACCCGCTTTATCCTACGCGTCCTTCCGCGGCAGCTCCTTCCCGAAAACGGCATGTTCAGGCGGAGGGATACGTTGAACCCAGGTTGTCGCATTTCATATCGATTTCAGCGGCACTGCCAGACGGCGGAACCAGACGTGTAGCCACGTAGCCACGTGCACGGCGGTACCGGTGCACGGTGCTGCGTACAACACACGCCCACCTCGGCGAGTTCCTCGTTTCAGCCAGCTGTGAGCCAGCTCGGCTCTTCTCGTACGCGACGTCAATTGCCGCCTGAATCGCCGATGCAAATCCGGGATGCGTCAAATCCTGAAACAGGCGGGGGCATTCAAGCTAACTCGATCTCAAGTACGTTCCCCGAAAGGCTTAATTCACCTCGGGCAGCCATTAAAAGAAAGACAATGACGTGTCCCTGGATTGCCTCTTGATATCGCGTTTTAATCGCGATAGGGTTTTAGGCACGACTCAGGTAGGTCGCGTTCGCGCCGATGATAAGTACTCGATGTGTAAGTGGCCGTCTACAATACGCGGAGTAAGCTTAGCGTAAGTTGGAATAAAGGCTCGTCTGCAGTGCAGTGGAGTAAGCTTAGCGTATGAAGTCAGAGTAGAAATAAGAAATTAAACTAATCGCGAAAGTTAAACTAAACTAAAATAAAATTAAACTAATTTTATTTCACTGGCATATAAATTCTAACTCCTTTACACCGCAAGTATTTATTTGACAGAAAGATTTTCGGCGTAACGGAGAGCTGAAATATATAGACGAGGAAATAAATTATTTGGATTTCTTACTCCCACTCTTACGTCAAGCTTACTCCATTGCTTAATGCATTGTAGACGGCCACTAACAGGCGCGACTTCTCAGGGGCCTTACGCGAGTCTTCCGAGAGACCTTGGCGCGAGACCTTATTTGGCGGACAAGGTCGGAGCACCTCGGGTCATTGGGTCTGCGGGACACGAACGTAACAGTACTAATTATTTCGTTTTCTGAGGCACACCGTCTGATCGGTGAGTGTCGACCGATCACGGTCGTGCCAAGTCACCAATAACGGCCGAATTCGCGGGTATCAGCAAGGCACGATGATTACGCGTGATTTCGTGACGAAAGAGCGACGCGTTCATTAAATGACTCGAGTACAATCGAGCGTACAACGTAACACGATCGGGACACGTACTCGCCGCGGGTGAATCATCCGATCGGCGCTCGCGTACCGGACTTACAAAAATCTCAATCTAACCGAGCCTAGCCTAACCCGAAGGATTCTCGTGGTGGCATCATCGTCGACGGTAATCACACTGCCGATGTCTCACACTTACGGCAGTTTCTTCCAAATACGGAAGAATGCGTCCGTCCTTTTATGCGTCCGCCGTGGCCGGTCACGTGCTCAGCTACGCCGACCACGAGACGGCTTCGAGAAGGAGCGTATCGATTTTGTGAAGCGGGCCTCTCTCCCACGTAGCAGCAGCCGGTCTGGAGCGCCGTGCAACGCTTAAGCTCCGCGGGCTATGTCTGTAGTCGTATTATCCGGTATTACCGGCACACGAGCGTGAACGTCGGCCGTGTGACGTGGCAAAAGTGCAACGCACCCTTGCATTCTGCCCTTGAATCTATTTTTACAGTGTCGCATTTATGAGACGTCCTGAGCGCCTGCGGTTTCGCGCTTCGCCGGATCAGGCCGTTGTGTCCCGGTGGATCTTTTCACCCGGCGGAAATGCGATTATCGGCCACGAGACGGCCAGTCGATAATCATTCCCAGGCGTGTCCGGTCCTACGCGCGATACGGATCAACGGAGACGCAAACATTAAGTCTGGTAGATTTTCGAGGAACTTCGAGGGACTAGCGAAACGAGTATTACAGTACGCTCTAGGTCTGTTCGTTTTCGAAGAACCTCTGCACTGATACAATAAATCAGAGTAAGCCAAGTATATTTTCTTTTACTCCAACTTATTGCATTAATGTGCGCTAGTACAGAGGTTATTCGAAAACGAACAGACTCTTTGATTCACTGCACTAGCATGCACCGAGGCTCAGAAGCAAAACAAACAGACCCTTCAATAATTATGCGCATATATAAGAAAAGCGTGATAAGGGAAAAAGAAAGAAGTCATTATGCTCGCGCCTGATGACACCGCGGAGAAGTAGCGCATGTTCGCGAAAACGAAGGCTTCTCGCGGCGTCGAACGCGCCGCGGCATCTTGAAATCCCGTCGCGAGTGATCATGGATCGACGGCAATAGGCGTCGCGTGTATAGCCGCGAGCCAGGCAGGTAGCAAGCCGCGACGACGGTTAGTCGAGCGAGCCCTTACGCGCTAGTGTATCCTTCCAAGAGGAGACATTATGCTCTCCTCTGTATCGTACGATTTGAAGCGGCATTTGGAGAATCTAGCCGCCAGCCGGCCGGCGGACCAATCGCCGCGTCGCTTTCGTTTTATGCCCATATATGGCAAGAGCTGTGAATCCGCGTGGTGGGGGAAGCCGGGTGGACGAGTCTATTGCACGGCTAGAGGGGTACCACGCAGACCGGTACGCGTATCCCCGCGCACCTACACCTACCTACGGCACACGTAGGAAATGACATGCGGAAAATGCCAGGCGACCTCTCTCTTTCGCCCCTTTTCTCTTTCTCTCTTTCCGCGAGCACGCCGGGAAAAATGCCACGGCGTCGGTCGCGCCTTCCTCGCGGCGAAACCTCGCGCGGGCGACTCGAAAACCGGCCGGGACGAGCGGATTTTTCGGGGAAAGCAAGGGGGGTCTCCATGGTGGCGGCCGGAGTGCGGTCTCCGTATGCCGACCACACCTCCGGACGAGTCCATGCGACGTGACGTGACGCGAGGCGGCGCGATACCGGCTCACGGTTGTCCAGCCGCACGATCTCGCTCACAACGTCCGCGGTGCTACACAGTGCTCGTTTCGTTGCCGCTGGTGGTCGTCGCCGAGGCCGATTGCCGTTCCCGGTACTCATCATCGTTTGCCCCTTGCGCTCGACCGAGAATCACGATTTCATCGTGAACGACGTTCGCTGAGTCGTTGAAGAAAACAGGTAAGAGCGCCGAGCCGGCCTGCGTTGGCGACGGCTGTCACGCGTCGTCACGTTCTCTCACGTCCGCGCTCGAACGGAACGGTTCGCCCGGCAGTTTTGCATTTTCGCATTTTTCGTTAGTCGGCACAGCCGTCCGCGGTAGGCAGCGGGCAGACAAGCAGGCAGACAGAGGCAGGGCGTTGCTCTGAATAACGAATGCGCGGCGCCGTTGTCTATTTTCGTGCTTCAGTCGAACAAAGCGCGACTTCTTTCTTTCTCGCCCGGCTCGAGACGCGTGCCGCGCAACGTCCAGGCGGTCGGCAGGTTGCCGTCGTCAAGTGGTTCCCGAGACAGGTGGTCGCGACGGCTTATTAATAGCGATGATGCGTCAGCCTCTGCTAACCCGCGGCGATTACGACGCATCTTTGCCTATGCATTGCGGCCTTTTCCCCTTTTCTGTCTTTTTTCTCTCTAGTAATCGTATGTGGCGTACCGTCGTGGATCGTACCGTGCAATCGACTTTCCGTCGCGAAAGGTCAAATGCGCCCGGAGGAAGTATATCGAATCGCTGAGAAATCTATCTGGCCGAGCGCGTCTCTTTGTCTGTCCCTTTCCGTCGTCGCTCTCTTACGCGAATCGCCGAGAGAGAGAGAGAGATTCGCGTAAGCTCACGGAGGCTCTTCGTGATCCCCGCAATCGATTTAATCGCAAGGCCTGCATGCGGAGTTCGACGGTCAATTCAGCGGATGCATTCGCACCGGGTATCGTGGGACCCACCGGCTCGTCGTCGCGCCGCGTTGCGCCGGGATGACGGGGGGGAGCCGGAGGGAGGGGGGTTGGGATAGTCTCGGCGAGGGGCGAAGGGGGCGAGCGGAAAGCCCCTCCGTGTCAGAGTACTTCCATATATGGTAAAGAAAGCCGGGATTGGTCGAGGGTGTCCCACCCTTATTGGCCGACGGCCGAGTAGGGGGGTCGCGGTTCACAACGAATCTGTTCATATAATACACCGCGAGCCGATCGTCGGCTACACTCTGTGTTCGGTGCTAGATCGGTCGACAGTGCGGCAGTGTCGCTGCGTAGAACTTGTATATAACTTCCTTTTTTACTCGAAATGTAAGTTTCCGAAAGTGTCAGCGCAATTGTCCCGATACAATATAGCGGAGCGTTCACTCGCGTTTCGACTCACGTTAATCACGAGCAGTGGGGAAAGCAAGGAAAGAGACACGGGAGGCAGTGCGTTGGCGAACACGTACCGGTTGTCGTCGTGGTGCGTTCAAGTGACGGCTGTGTCGGGATGGTGCGCGCAGGGCGTCGTGTTCCCCGAGTGCTTCGTGCGGGATCATCGAGCGCGGATATACGGATCTCGTCCTCGAGAAACGCGTCTCCGGAGTGCATATATCGCGTGCTTATACCGACTGGTTCATAGCGCCGGATCGCGTACGAATTCGCGAAAACCCTGGATCGGAAACGTCTCGGGGACATCGGGCGAGGCGAGAGACCGCTGGCTCGCCGTTCTCGCCATCACACAGTCGCGAAAGGGCGGGGCGGGACGGGACGAGACACGGGACAGGGTGCGGTTCTGATAATTAACGATAACGTTACTCTCGCATCCGCCCGAAGAGGGGATCCCTGTTGAGTCATCGTCATTCAGGGGGCCGCCGATTATTAGTCCGATGCTTTCAACGAATACGCGGGTCACACTTTTCCGTTCTCATCGCGCGACTCACTTCGACGTGATTCAGTCGTCCGGTACGCGACGCGTGCCTGCGTTACGTGTCGTCCGCCGCCATCTTGAGTGTGTTTCAAAAGAGCGAGCGCCGGTCACCGGCTAATGAGGCATTTATTTATTAACGCGTCTGTTCATCTCCCGGAGCTGCCTGCGGCCCGGTGGACGGCGGCAGCGGGAGTTGTAACTTATTTGTCATCGTTTATCGATAGTTTGCGCAAATACGCGACGGGAATAGAACAGCGCGCGCGGCCGTTGATGTATCACCTGTACCCTGTACGAGAAACTAATAGCAGTCTTATCCTTGCAGATAAACCAAGAAAGCAAACATGTGCGACGAGGAAGTTGCCGCGCTCGTAGTCGACAATGGATCCGGTATGTGCAAGGCCGGTTTCGCCGGAGACGACGCTCCCCGCGCCGTCTTCCCATCGATCGTTGGTAGGCCGCGCCACCAGGGTGTCATGGTCGGCATGGGGCAGAAGGACTCTTACGTCGGTGACGAGGCCCAGTCGAAGAGAGGTATCCTGACGTTGAAATACCCGATCGAGCATGGTATCGTTACCAACTGGGACGACATGGAGAAAATTTGGCATCACACGTTTTACAATGAGCTGCGAGTGGCTCCCGAGGAACACCCGGTCCTCCTCACCGAGGCCCCCTTGAATCCCAAGGCTAACCGCGAGAAGATGACGCAGATCATGTTCGAGACGTTCAACACGCCTGCCATGTACGTGGCGATCCAAGCTGTGCTGTCGCTGTACGCCTCCGGACGTACTACCGGTATCGTGCTCGATTCCGGCGACGGTGTTTCGCACACTGTGCCGATCTATGAGGGATACGCCCTGCCGCATGCTATTCTCCGTTTGGACTTGGCCGGTCGCGATCTGACCGACTATCTCATGAAGATCCTCACCGAGAGAGGATACTCCTTCACGACTACGGCCGAGCGTGAGATCGTCCGTGACATCAAGGAGAAGCTCTGCTACGTCGCGTTGGACTTCGAGCAGGAGATGGCCACCGCCGCGTCGTCCTCCAGCTTGGAGAAGAGCTATGAGCTGCCCGACGGCCAAGTCATCACTATCGGCAACGAGCGATTCCGTTGCCCGGAGGCTCTCTTCCAGCCCTCGTTCTTGGGCATGGAAGCTTGCGGTATCCATGAGACCACGTATAACTCGATCATGAAGTGCGACGTCGACATCCGTAAGGATCTCTACGCCAACACCGTCTTGTCCGGTGGCACCACCATGTATCCAGGTATCGCCGACAGGATGCAGAAGGAGATCACTGCCTTAGCGCCGTCTACCATGAAGATCAAGATCATCGCGCCGCCCGAGAGGAAATACTCCGTATGGATCGGCGGCTCAATCCTCGCCTCGCTCTCCACCTTCCAACAGATGTGGATCTCCAAGCAGGAGTATGACGAGTCCGGGCCTTCCATCGTCCACAGGAAGTGCTTCTAAGCGCGTTCCCGAATCGCGTTTATCATTCCCCAATCCCTGAGATTTGGAGGAAGAGAGAGAGAGAGAGAAAAGAGAGAGAGAGAGAGAGAGAGAAAGCGGCTTCTGTCTCGTTTCGCAGGCGGACGTAACATCAACTTCCGCGACGATTGCCCTCTGGTTCCTCCGGGGTGCAGGTAGCTTCTTTCGATTCAAATGTACGTGTTTAAGATACGCGAGACTGACGTGCCCGATTAAACGAGGAGAGAGGAGCTTACGGTATATCGCCTCCTCCCGCGATTGTTCCTCGGTCTCGGCGGCAACCCAATAAACCGGCGGTTCATTCTTGCTCGTTTAAACGCGATTATTTTTCTTCTGTAACTTTCGTCATCAATTCGATTCTGATGATTTCTTTCGTTATTATGATTACTATAATTACATGTGCCCCTCTCACACACACGTAAGGTTCGTCTAAGTAACTTTTCTACCCCCGATCCTGTAACGGGTCCTTTCCGAGTATTATATATACCTATATATATATAAATATTCGAGTAAAAACTTGTCTACGAGGTTTAGCGCTTAGCGAAGATATTTCTCGCGAAATATTCATCCTCTCAAAGCGAGCATCAATACACATTGTCGGTGTATACCCAGCGCTCCGATTGCCATTATTCTACTTCGGAGAGAGAATGAGAGAGAGGAAGGGTGGGAGGGAGAGAGAACTCGAGCAAGAAACGTTCGCGTAGACGATGAATTCCGGGGTTTCTGTCGCGGGCAAGATCGTCGTATAAGCTTCTTGCCGCGGAAAGAGACGATGGAGTCCAAACATATGGCAATCAACATTTATGCCGTTCAATGCATTCCGATCAATGTGTGCGATATTTTTAAGAAGACGCTCGCGTCAAAGCTGTCTTTCGAACTTTACACGTCATTCCGCGCAGAGAGATAGGCCTCTGACTTATTACTTGTTTATTTGTCGCATCACCGTTTCGCCTATCGCTGTAGGAAGAGATGGCCTTTTTTGTCTTCTTTCTTTCTTCTGTGTTTTCCTTTTTTTATTCTTCTTTTTTACACGATGGGGTAAACCGCTGATCCGGAAAAAGGTCCTACGAACGCTCGCTCAAACTAAAAAGAAGCAAAACGAAAGACACCACGGTTCCGACCCCGCAAGCGTAGCCAAAGTATTATAATTTATTCCCATTGTATTGCGCAAGACCATTCACGTACACATCTTAAAGACTACTTTAGACTTATGGGATTATAAAATAAAAGTCTGAAAAAAAAATATCGCTTATCGTCTTGTGTCAGTGTGTTGTGTCTCTTAAAATCGTCATCATCGTCCGCATCCTCTCATCGCTCTCCATACCATTCCATCTCGTATAACCCTATGTACTCTTCTCGTCCCCTCACGAGCCCAGACACGCGGCTGGATTGTATAACCGTTCTCACGTGTCCTCGTTTAGTGTGTGTCAGTTCACGGACTCCCTTTTTATACGTAAATGTAGCTCCTGTAACGTCCGACGACATTGATCACCAATTACGCGTTTAAAACGGACACTATTACTCTAAGATTTAAGTTTATATGTCTCTTTTGAGTATACAAAATAAAAGTTATTTTCAATCAAGCACGCTTTTTCCTACCCGTTCGTCATGCTCGTTTAACGGGTTTCTACATTTCCGCGTTTTTATACAAAAAGAATTGATACGCGCACTCGAGGATGAAGCTGCATCTGTGTGAAAATACATAGTATCTCTTATCAAGCCACATGTCACATTTCATATTTGAAATTCCTAGTTTCCGTATCAGTTTCCAGTTGCATCGATGACGTCCGTCTGAATATCTGCGATGATTACAGATTTTTTCTTGTTAACTGCATTTTTAATAGTTTCCGTGAAATGAATATCAAAGTTCTTGTTCCCACTGCTGTGGAAACCTGGATGACGTCAGAAGCGAGAAAACGCACGCCAAAAATTCTTGCGTGCAATATTCGTATAAAAGAACACGATTTAGATCGTTTCAGCATACTTATAAAATACTCTGAACTATTCCTTGACAGTCAATAAATAATCTTAAAATTAACATGTCAAAATCATGAGGATAAGATAGGTTAACGAGAAAGATTGTATGTCACATTAATTTTAAGTCTATTGACTGTCGAGAATTTTTGGTATATGTTTTTTCGCCTCTGACGTCATTAATCCAGGATTTCGCAGCGGCAGAATCAGAAGCCTTAATGATGTATGTAAAAAGTTGAGACTGAAGGTCAGAAAATACTGCTTAGACTTAAACGAGTGATAAAAATAAATTAGCATTAGTTGATAAGATATCTTGTACTATTCCGTATTATACTAGGATTTGAGTGACAGCACAGCAAGAACCCCATCAACGTTTACAGGAAATCAAAATAAAATAGTTGTTCTTTGCTATATGGAGATTGCACAAGCTTCCCCGTTTAAAATACACGATTTATTTTTACAGATTTTCTTATAAATACATTTGCAATATAAAAACACTTTGTTCAATAATATAGCTTAATAGTCGGAGTATCAATCTATTTTAAGACAACCGACGAAATTTACATAAATGTTGAAAAAAAACTCTTTATATTATTAATTAACACAGTAAAACGCTTTGGCTGGTTGAGTCGAGTGATTACGAGTTTCAAATTTGAGAAATTTCTTTTCATTTCAAATATATAAATATATATATAATATTTATATATATACAATATTAATAATAATAATAATTAATATATATATATATATATATATAAAAGTACATCTACAAGTTAATAAATCAATTAATATAATAAATTAATCAATTGCTGCTGTATTGTATTATTTCAAAATAAAGATATAACTCGAAAGTCGAATCGTACAACTTTGATTTTTCAGTCAGGACGGTAGCGGCTCGTAGCGGAGATTTCAGAAATAAAAAAAATAATAGGTCTAACAATAATGTCCACAGTTAGACCCGTTATTTTTATTAGTTCTAAAGTCTTCGCTACGAGCCGCTACCATCTTTACCGAAGATTCGAGATAGTGATACATTCATATATTTTATAAAAATTCTAGATTAAGGCATCGAAAATTCTATTTCCGTTATACTTTAGTTAATCCAGTCAATAACTTCGGTGATAAATCAACCATAGCATTTCCTTTACCTTGTTACTAGATTTAAGGTTACAACTTACATTCTATTAATACTGTATATTACTCCTAAGAAAACTGTATTCATTTTCGAATTCGCATTATGTAAGGGTCGGATAGACTTAGCACCTAAACCCGTACACTTTTTGTACACCCTTTATTCCTAATAAAAAAAAAAAACGAGGTAGTGATACAACTCAACGACAAGTAAGGCATAAGACATAACATTTTATTTTTGAATAGTACGAGTCAATTACAAGTTAAATGAACTTTTATTCTAAATAATACAATAGAGCAGTAATTGACTCACTTAATTATCTTAATCAACTTATCAATTCATAGATATACTTATTTATACTTATCGGTAACTGTCAGCATTTGCTCTCAGTAACAGAAAGTCTATAATAGACTCAACTTGAGGTCCTCAAGATGAAGTCGGAAGTCGCGTAAATAGTTAGATATATAAATATAGAATATTGATAATTTAACTTATTTAATTGACTTGGCGCGGAGTTAGTTATTGTTAACGGAAAAGCACAAGGCGATAAGTGATTATCGGTATTGGATTGACGGGTCAGTATCCGCCAGTGACCTGTGTGTGTATGTGTGAGACGACGAGGTAGGACGTGGTACATTTCTCGGTATATTCTCAGTGTCTGATGCTACCCTGGCCCGAGATGAACGAACAAAATGTCAACGATCAGTATCCGACTTGGGTAAGAAAACGTCGAATTATCGACATACGACGCGGCACATAACCTTTAACCCGTAATCGCATCTCTACCAAAGGGCAATTGTGTTGTAGGTCGGCCTCGTGTATATCTTCAATCTCATCGTCGGAACAGGCGCCCTGACGTTACCCGCCGTGTTTAGCCGTGCAGGATGGGGACTTGGACTGAGTGTCATTTTAGTGTTAGCATTTATCAGGTAAATAGAAGGATTTTGTCGAGACACACACACAAGATGTCAGTGGCCAGCTGTTTGATTAAATCTTCTTTGTTCAGCTTTGTCACAGTTACATTCGTTATAGAAGCAATGGCATCTGCTAATGCTATAGTTACATGGAGACACATCCAACATCGAAAACGCGTAAGCATTCTTAGATTAACTTTAGCCTCTACAATCAGTAGTGTCGAGTATCTTATAGATACGCGTAAGCATTCTTAGATTAACTTTAGCCTCTACAATCAGTAGTGTCGAGTATCTTATAGATACGCGTAAGCATTCTTAGATTAACTTTAGCCTCTACAATCAGTAGTGTCGAGTATCTTATAGATACGCGTAAGCATTCTTAGATTAACTTTAGCCTCTACAATCAGTAGTGTCGAGTATCTTATAGATATCTTAGGTAAATAGAAATTAACAATGACTCATCACACAATATCGTTAATATGTAATTATAATAAACATCATACATATGTAATAAACTCAATTTAAAGCAAACAATTTAAAAAATATATAAATAAAAAATAAAAATATAAAAAATAATATATTTAATATCAAGTACTTTTTTAGGTTCTACAAACATTAGGTGAATCTGGACCTTCCAATTCAGACTCTGAAGATACACCACTAGTAGCTCCCCTCACGAATAGTCCTGAACGTTTGGACAATACTTACAGATATTATGTGATTCACGATAGAATAGAGATGGGTCAGATGGCATCCATCTTCTTCAACAAATTTGGCACTACGCTATTCTACTTGTGTCTGTCTGTATATCTATATGGAGATTTGAGCATTTACGGAGCTGCAGTTGCAAAGTCGATGGCAGATGTTGCCTGCACTTATCAGCCAAGCAATCTCACATGCAATGATACCATACCAGACACTGAATTTTGTTGGGAAGGTCCTATGTTAAATCGATTGGATGCATACAGAATATTCCTGGTATGTTATTAGTTTGAATACATTCACCTCTAAATTTAAAACTGTGATCAAAATGAAAATAGCTCTTAAAACTGTTGAATTTTGCTTTATACTTTCAGACAATATTCGTGCTAACACTGGGGCCATTTGTATTCTTTAATGTCCAGAAAACCAAGTATCTTCAGGTATTGACTTCGATGATGCGATGGCTCGCATTTACTATCATGATTGTGTACGCTGTAAATAAACTGTTGCGATACGGTATTCGGGGCGACCCACCTGTTGCAAATATAACTGGTAAGCAAGAAATTTGTGACCATCATTCATTTGTGATGTTCTACTGAACATTGTAATGTTCTTAAAGTTGGCTTACATATAAAAAATACCAGTAACATTGTTAATAATAAAAAGTTAATTTGAAGTGTACTTAACTATATTTTCTAGAAGACGATTTACTGTTTTTAACAAAATATGCTTTTAACAATGTGGAGAATATTGACAAAGTCAGAAAAATTATTTATCATGATTAAACTGCTAATAGCAATATCAACAACAAAAATAATATTCTTTTTAACAAAAGTGGAAAATTTTAAACAATTAATAACATCGTTATTAGCAAATATGTGCTATATACAAATTTCAGTTTTTATAGTGCAATCAGTCAAAATAAAATCATTATTGTTGATAATGTTGCTAATAAAAAAAACTTTTATCAATAATATTTGTTTTCCGCAAAATGTCAAAAACAAATGTTATAAACATTTTTTTTATTACAAAATAACAGTTAATAGCAAAATATGATTGATTTGTTTTGTAACTTGCTGAAAACATTTGTTTTCAGTAATTTTAAATGAGGCAATTTGTTAGTAATACTACTAAGAACATTTGTTATTAGCAATGTTACTGCTGGTGTAATCCATCTTTAGGCATATGTGTGATTACGGATATGTAAAATGATAACTGTGTTGTGTCGCTGTTTTAGGGATTCCTAGTCTTTTCGGTGCTTGCGTTTATTCCTTCATGTGTCATCATTCGTTGCCGGCTCTGGTCGCGCCAATAGCGAATAAATCTATGCTAAATCGATTTCTCGCGTTCGATTACATACTGATCGCTTTGTTCTACTTACTGTTGGCATTGACAGGCGCCTTCGCCTTCGAGCATTTGGATGATCTCTACACATTGGACTTCGGGCCACGTGGATCGGGTGATTGCTCCAAGAGCAACAATATTTTCATGCTCCTCATAGAATATTTCCTCGCGCTCTTCCCTGTATTCACCCTGAGTACTAGTTTTCCCATTATAGCGATTACTCTCAGAAACAACTTGCAGTCTCTCTTTCTAAACGAGGACATGTCCTACAATTTATGTCTTCGAAAACTTGTCTTCCCCATCTTGGCAGTAATACCGCCGTATCTGATTGCGATGAGCACCAAGGATCTGTCAATATTAGTTGGTATCACAGGTTCATATGCTGGAGCAGGGATTCAATATTTAATACCCACGTTCCTGGTCTACTACGCTAGGCAGGAGACTAACAAAGTCATCGGTCTCGGTGTTGTTAACAAATTCGCGAGTCCTTTCTCCGGCAGATATTGGCTGTTTTTCGTTGTGATATGGGCGATCGCTTGTATGATCTTGGTGTCAGTCAATTTCATACAGATACATCTCGTACCGATTAACGGATAACGACATGAAATATCGTCTGTATCGTACATAATCAAAAGAGAAGGGAGCTTTGCTCCTCGGACGTAACTCCTGTTGTGTGAAAGAGTCGCAGGGACGGATGTTTACGAAAGTTGATTGCATATCTTGAGCGATACATTTTGTAATACATTTTGTAATACATTTTGCAATGTATTGCAAGTGAAATTATCACGATTATTGATTTCTTGAGAGACTGACAACGATAAATCTCAGAAAAATATTGTACAGACGTTGAGTGCGGGCGGAATAACGCGATTGGTTCGCGACTTGCAAGGACTTAGGTCTCTTGGGGCGTAGATTATTAATAATCTAAGGATTATTAATAATCGTCATTTGTGGCAATGTGTGCTGACACGTGTCTATGACGAAACGACAATATTCTGGCACAAGTCGGCGTGTACAAGTCGAATACTAGATAAGTTTGAAAACGTAGGTTATTAATGTATGTAGCAGGAAAATTTCATTTGTCTTTGTATCTCTTATTTTTCCAGGCTTGCTCTGGTATGGATGTAGCGTAATTTCGTTACAACAAGAAGACTCTAATCGTTGTTGTTGTTGTAGTATTTATATCTTTTTATGCGGTAGGATCGCTTTTTGTGTATTTCTGTGCATTTATGGCGAAATGCTAATAGTGAGAATGATAGCAGGTAGTGGCAATAGCAAGAGCGCATAATGTTAAGTTTTGTTTTTAAATCATATTTTTGTATAGATTATGTATAAAACTGCCAAAAGAAGTGGTATTCGCAACATGTCCGTCATACCTGTGTACCTGTACAAGCGTAGTAGTGTACAATGAGGAACATTGCGGGTATGTGTGTGTGTGAATGTGTGTATGTATGTATATATACATATATATATATATATATTTTCCAAAAGCAATTGAAAAAGTGGATAATAATAAATAGTTGATTATACAAGTCTCTGCCGATTTATTCTCACCGGTATATGTACACACATTGTGTTTCTTCTTCTCTACGTTCTTAGATTTATTTCGTACCGAGATTCGCGCGAGGCAGATCTTAACACGGATAGATTTCTCTTCAAGATTCCAACGACACAAGATAGCACGATAAAAGCGATAAAAGCTATTTCCGATAAAATTCCACGTCCCTGATTAAGTAGACTAGCGCGTTGAATGCGTTTACAATCGCCTCTGTTGCATAGGCACAGTATCTGTGAGATTCCGGATAAACGGCATCGCCCTCACGTGTATTCGTACGGGAGGTAAGAAAACAAGGAGGAAACGTAGAATATAAATTACAATTGTGTTCGCTTACAAGTACTATTGAGATCACCAACTTATCTCGATAATCCTATTTGTTCCGAAGTAAATTCCACCAAGTGGAAACAAGTGACATGCGTGCGATCGCGTGTGACAAGCAAAAACTTACGTTCGACGCATAGTGTCGATAGTAAAGAGGCGATGACAATTCGGCGTTGTCGCGTCTCAAAAAAGCTATGCACGTGAGGAAAAAATAGTTGTTCGATGTACTAATCTACGTACAATTAAACGCGACCATATATATGCACGCGAACATAAGTGAACACTTCCGAATGAACGTTCCACGTCGTTAATTTATGACGTGCATGTGTATGTATGTATGCGTGTATGTATGTGTGCGTGTATGTATGTATGTATGTATATATAATATATATAATTCGGATATATATATATTTATAATAAATAGCTATTTCGTATTTGCGTGATTTGATTTCTTTCTTTGGTTCTCCGCGCGGACGAGCTCGCTCTATGAGATTTTCAAATTGTTGTTACATGCCGAAGATAAGATTAAATGACGGATATCTCTCCTCCCTTCCCGTCTATGCTGTCGGACGCACGTATTAATTATTCTCTTTCGTTCGTCAGTCTTCAACACTACGAATACTATGGATATCTATTTTAACATCACGTGCGTTGCGCCGTGTAGCGAGTCTGTATACGTACAACTATGTTAGTCTTTCGAGCTTCATTTCGATCGACAATGAATTCCGTCTGGAAATCGGAGATATGTCTTTGAACGCTTTGAACATTGGACTGATGTCGACGTTATAACATAAATGTAATTCATTTCGCGTATCTTTTCCTATTGCGTTTCGTCAAAATCCATAAAGTGTTTAAATATATAGCTTGTACGACAACAAAGACACACAACACATTAATCGCAGTCGCAACGACTCAGCTTATTTGCATGTAAACCCAAGGAGCGTGGCACAGAATCGAACTGCATCACGTTAGATTCGATAAATATCAGTGGTTGTAGAAAACTTATGCTACGAATATACGAAGAACTCTTGTAGAGAGAAAAAAAAAGAGAGAGAAATAGAGAACAAGGGTTTACAATTTAATAAGCCGACGAAACAAATGCGGACTCACGCGTTAAGTAATACTGATTTTCTCCCTTCTTCCTACGAGAATTACTCGTAATTATTTAAATAGGGGCAATGCGTGTCCTCGTGACCCACGCACTCTATCACCGGATCGTGCGTGCTATCCCACATCCCCGGGCCGCATTGGCGGCACAAGCCGGCTAACGTGCAAGGTAAGCGCACAAGTTGACGAAAATGGTGGAGTAGGCCTCGTGCCTTTCTCAGTATAATGTTCCCGTCCATGTACATGGCCAACGAACTGAAATGCAGCAGCATCTCGTCCGTCCTGAGATCCTGCGCGATCACGTCGTCCGCGTAAACGCACATTATAGCTAGGCAAAGAAACAAGTGAAAATGATCCGTTAAGTAATTGACCCAGCAAGCCTCCCACATAATCAACGCTATCTCAGTAGGAAATTCCCGCTTCAAGCATCTGCAACACAGAGAAAAGCATTCCTGAATATATATGTATACAAAACAATATAAACTGCTAAAGTAGGTTTTTAAGTTGACGCAAAAGACTTGTCGTATTTGTTAAATGAGATAAAAAGCGAAATTATTATCCAATTTCGAAGGATTAATAATCAACGCCGAGCCAGTACTTTTTAGACAGCTGGCATTTGCCGTTTTCCTTTTCCTTTTAATGTCGAAACTTTTGATACAAAACTTCCTACTAAGAATTTAATAGAAACATGACAAATCCTTTGCGCTAACCTTGTGCAACCTTCTGCTTCAGCAAAAGGTAACTGCTTCAGCAGTATGATTCTATGTGCACTCACAGAAGTATCCATCGGTGGCAAAACAGAAGCTCCAAGGCGTCCGCGTGTTTTTCAAGGTGCGCGTAAAAGTCTGGTACCATTATTCTCACCAACTCCCGCAGGTAACACAGGTTCCTGTCCATGTCCGTGTCGGTGGGAGTGCACACGGCCACTGATCTCTGCATCAGACCCGCGAAACACCAGAAGGCCTCGATTTCGGAATTGAGTTCGGCTAACAACGGAGCTAAGAGGTCCGACATTCCTTGAGTGTAGCCCAAACGACAATTGTAAACCGCATAATTGAGTAATATATTCCTGAAAATATCAACAAGAATAATTGCAGGAATTAACAACGGGCGACGTGATAATGCGGAAACAAACGGAAATCAGACTTGATGCCGCAAAAGACGCTGAAAGATAAACGTTGAAACAACTTACTTCATCACCTCGATGTTGGGGTTACCCTCGCCGGCGTAATACGGATTACCGCGGTCCGTGCGGACGACGTCCTTCTCTACTATGCACACCACGTTCCGCCAGAAACGCTCGGCCTGCTCCGGACTCATGTTCAGCCTGCGTTTCTGTATCTCGTCATACTCTTGCCGTCTGATGGCGTCGATCTGCTCTCTGTCCTCGTACGTGCTCTGATAGGAATAGCAGTGCAGCAGAAACGGCCAGACGATCTTTCGCAGCGCCGGCTCTAAGCCGCCGAAAAATACACCCTTGCGAAGAGCGAGATCGTCTTCCACTTGGCCCCGTTCATTCAGCAGGTCTTTCCAAGCCAGTGACGTGATCATCGGCACTTGGCCTTCCTCCGGGTGCAACTCGTCCCGGCTCACCTCCGGTCTGCATACCATGAAGTGCCTGTGCGCATCGTGCAATTGCGTTCGCGCGTTAACGTTGGCATATTAACGTGGCCGTCAATATACGGAATAAACTTGGCGTAAGGAGTAGAAGTAAAAAATACAAATGATTTATTTCGCTTACGCCTACACTTCCTTATGCCGAAAGTCAAATAAATACTTCCGGTGTAAGGAGCTAAGGGAGCTAGAGTTTAGACGTAAATAAAATATAATATAAATATAATATAAATAAAATAGTTTTATTTCTTACTCTTACTCTTACTTCATACGCTAATCTTATTCCACGTGTCGCAGACGAGTCTTTACAGATCTTTGCCGTACCTGTACGGCAGACTCTCCTCCGTGTCTGCGTTCAAACGCGGATAGAGCAATTGATGCCACTGATGCAGAGTAGTGGCCAGCCGGTCTAAACCGCCGTGATGAAAATGCAGGATCTTGTATTGACTCTCTCTGCTCGCCACTACCAGTTGGCCGCAGGTGCAAGCGGGATCGGCGAAGAACAGCCTGAGGGATCGCATCTCGCTGAGGTCCACCGAGAATCTCCTGCAGCGATGCGCTCGCCGCAGCGTCACCGGCGACGCGGTCGCGCTCTCGGGAAAGGCGAGGTTGTGTTGCAGAGCCAGCAGCTCCGGAGACCTCATCCACGTGGGCATCTCCTCGGCTGTGGGGCAGCGTCATTATACATTAATTGCAAGCTCGAGCGCGACACTGGATATCTATTTTAAGTCAGTCAGAAAATTGTTCGATTTCCAATGTTTTCTTCGATTACCATCTTCCATGACACAGATACACGAATATTGACGAATCATAAGCAACGACGGTAATTAGTTGGTTAATGAAATAATTACTTGGTTAACAATTATAATTGTTAGGTTATTTAGATTATTATTGTTAGAACAAGTATAATTACAACGATTTGGTGATCGATTATATTATTTGGTTAACAATGGATACAATTATTTGGTTGATGAGTAACTTATCGAACGCAACCAAATGAAATTTCCCTGAAAAGTCAAGGCAGACTTTCCGACTGACCAGGTACCTCTACGTACTGTCGGTTGATACTGCGAGCGACAGACTGCACGTCGAGGTCAACGACAGGCTGCGACTCTTGACGCTGATATCGTCGCGGAACGATAAACGCGCCTCTTCGTCGATGCTCCTGGCGTCGGCGTCGTTACCTCGCTCCTTGACATCCCCATTCTCTTCGTTCCGTGACTCCGCCGAGTCTGGCTGATTCTCGGCCTCGAAGTTCTCACCTTCGCTGGCCGTACCAATCGGATCTCGGCGACGTAAGAAGTCGTAGCCGTAGCTGTACCCTGATCCGGAACAGACGCGCTCGCAGTCCCCGCAGCTGACGGGCTCCTTCGCCTCCAGACACACGTCCAGCTTGCCGTTGCCGTTGTCGTTCTCATTCTCGTTCTCATTCTCGTTCTCGTTCTCGTTCTCCAGCTCATGTCTTGCGTTGAGCGATTCGCACATCTTGTCGGAGCGAGGGGAGCGAGGAGAGGTCGGGTTGACGGAGTCCCGTTGAGCCGCTGCGATGTTCCTCGCGCTCAGACTCTCCAACGTGGTGGGATGTTTGCGCAACGTGCTGTTGGGTATCCAGCTGAGGTGCAAGGTCGGCAAGTTCGAGTTCTTATTCAACTTACAAGTGATAGTCATATACCCGGGATGGTGCACCACATCGGCGTGCTGCCTCATCAGCGTCGGTGGGTGTACACAGACGTTGTTCTTGCAGAACAACGCCTCGCCGTCCTGGTAAATGACGCGCCGGTTGTCCTGGCCGCAGTCGCCGAGGATGTAGCTGCTCGCCTTTCTCAGAATATTCGGTAGCGGCATTGTCGACTCGTCGAGCGATCACTGGACGATCTGTGACGTCGTTATTATTATTAATCTCCGATAGAGCATGACGCGTCGCCGAGGTTGGCGAGGGAAACGAGCCTGCTGCGAGCGGCCGTTCTCGTATCGTTAAGCCCTCCTTCAAACCGAGGGATCCCGCGCTCAAACATTAGCGCGCTGACGCGTCTGTTTGTAGTCCGCAAGACGCACGACCCTCTCGCCGATTCTCCGACCTCGACCTGGACTATCGTCGTCCGCGAAGAACTGAGATTGCCATCCGCGCCAGCGTAGCATAGAACCGAGCGAGTCGTCGTCGGGAAATGTGGGACGGAGGGCGAGCATAATCGCGCAAGAGCACTCTGCTCAGGGTAAATTCCCGTCCGAGTCCCACAGTGGAGGCAACTCGTCCGCCTCCCGCGCTGCGTATCGTCGCAGATACGCGCTCAAACGCGCGCGTGATCGCCTTATCGCTTCAATTAGTTATATATGGGACGCTGATAACGCACTTCCGCGTCTTACGTGTCGTGAGAGCGTCGCGTCTCGTCGCCAGGTTGCAGATTCCACGACGGCGCGAGCGCGTCGTAGCCGAGAGTCCCGCAGTCGCCCCGATTTCTCATGCTTCTTCACTGAGCAGGCCGCGCGGCACTCCTGAGAACTCTCGAACTCCCCCGGCGCGATCAGCGTTCGCCGTTGTCGTGGTAGCGACGCTCTCGGCCTCGCGACATCGTCACCTCGTGTGATAAACAAAATCCTGTTCGACTGTAGCGCAATCAACGTCCCTATTTCCGAATCGCTGCTGCGTTCACGCGTCACTGCTGACTGCGCCGTCGCCGCCACCGCCACCTCCACCTCCACCGTCGTCGTCGTCGTCGTCGCCACCACCGCCGCTCTGCCGCGCAGGTACGTCTTCAATTTCGTTAAAATCCGCTAAAATCCACGCACACGCACGCGACAGTTGCGCACGGCTTCATCCGGAGCTGATCCTCCGTGGCGGTGCGTGTCTGCTTACGCAACGAGACGCGCGAGAGAGAAGTGACGGATATTTCCTTATCCCAGATCAATATTCCCATCTGATCGCGCGACACTCGCTGCCTCCGATGCCCTACTACCCGATCCGCTGACATTTCGCCGCTTGTCGCACTCCGTAGGCAGTTTTTATCGATTATCCGCTGTATCCGCTTCTTAATCGCAGAGTGTCCACCGCATGCATACACTTTCGTGTCTCGCGCGCGTTCTTGCTCCTTTTTCGCACGATCGATCCATTATCCGATCTCTCATATAACGTGCGCGCACGTGTAACTATTTTCTTCTCTTTCGCTTTTTCACTGCAACGAAAATTCACAATCACCCGCCGACCAGTCGAGAAGCGCGTTCATGCGACGTGAAAAATCTACGATGCGATATAGGCGCGGCGACTTCTTGCGTCGCTGTGACTATTAATAATTGACTGCTTCTTAAATAAAGCAAGCGTAACGATTGTTCATGCTCGCTGTATTCTCGAGATACGGGATGCAAGATACGGGATAACGTACCATGATGAACTGACAAATCGTTTGCATGAATTATCACAGCCGACTGTCTTGAGGATTAGTAGTATAAGTCGAACTGAAGAATATTTTGATCGTTGCTGCCGACTAAAGTTCGCATTTTTGACTCGTATTTTCGAACGCTAAGTACGTCCCTTTCATTCCAAGTTTTACTTTAGGTGAATGTCACATATATAAGATTGCTTCAGCTTGAGAATCAGGAAGGCGTAGCGTTCGAATACACGTCAAGAATACGGTCTCAGTCCCGATTTGAGTTCACGTTTATAAATACGATATGAAATACGCTGAAAAATGCAAGTGGAAGTCCTCCTGCAGATAACCGTTCGCCAACAGGTGTCCCATGATGGCCTCCCCTGTTTCCCTCATGAACTTCAGCACAGGCACACGTTGGCGATCCACAAAATCGTGATTGAGATCATGAAATGCGGGGTATCTCGTACGGTGAAAAGTCGGCCAATTATCACAGTCGATCGTCTAAAGGATTAGTAATGTAAGTCGTAATCGAAGAGTATCTTGTGGTCGTTGCTGCCGACCAGCCCCGACTTAGGTCCACGTTTAAGATACGATATCGTGGAATACGCTGAGAAGTGAAAGTCCTCCTGCAGATAACCGTTCGTCAACAGATGCCCCACGATAGCCTCTCCGCTTTCCCTCGTGAACTTCGGCACAGGTACGTTGGCGACCCGCAAAGTCGTGGCGCCTTTGCCGTACCAAGCGTCCACGAGCTTGAGGGCGGTCAAGCGCGTTTCGTTTTGCACCGCTTTAGTCATGATCTGGTACAACTGTCTGCAATACTGCGCGATGTCGGTGGCCTTGGCGACGGCCGGCTTCCTGCAATGATCGCACATCTCGACGCAATCGCTCTTGTTCCAAGTCTCCTCGAAATGCGTCGCGATCAAACTGCGTCTGCAGGACGTCTGGTCCAGGCAGTACGTCAACACCTTGTACAGGTTCTGCAGGCCGACCTTATCCTGGAATACCATCGTGCTGAGCTTGAACACGTCCGCTAGTCTGTAAAGTACGATGCACACCGATTTCTTGCCGTCCCTGCCAGCTCGGCCGCTTTCTTGGTAGAAGTTCTCCATCGACTTCGAGACGCAATGGTGGATCACGAACCGCACGTCCGGCTTGTCGATGCCCAATCCGAATGCGATGGTCGCCACCACAGCTTGATACTTGCCCGATATCCACTTGGAATAAACCTCCGACCTGTACTCAGCCTCGAGCATCGCATGGTAGCAACCGACTTTGATACCCTTCCCCCTTAAGTCCGTGGTCAGTTGCTCAGCGTCTTTGATCGTGGTGGTATAGATTATACCCGACTTGCCGGTGAATCTGTTCTTCAACAGGTTCTCGATCATTGCCAAGCACGTCTCCTTGTCCGACGGTTTGCGGCGCACTTCGTAAAACAAATTCGGCCTGTTGAATGAAGCACGCAGCACCAGGCAGCCGCTGATGTCCAGCATCTTCTGTACGTCCACAATAATCTTAGCTGGGGCTGTAGCAGTGAGGCCCAGAATTGGGATGCCAGGAAACATGGACTTTAGCACTCCCAGGAACTTGTAGTCCGGCCGGAAATCGTGGCCCCATTGACTGCAACAGTGCACCTCGTCTATGGCAAAGCGCGCCAGATTCTGTAACTCGTAGGCCTTCTGCAGTTTGCTCATGAAACGATTGGACTTGGCCATGTATTCAGGTGTCACGTAAATCAGCTTGAGATCGGCATTTTTATCCACTAAGGCATTCATGGTGGCCTTGACGCTCTCTTTGTCTGCCTTGGCACATAACATAGTAGCTTTGACGTTGATCCTGCGTAGCCCATGCAGCTGGTCCTCCATTAAAGACACCAATGGCGACACCACTATCGTCATACCCTTGCTGATCACAGCTGGCAACTGGTAACATAAACTTTTGCCACCTCCTGTGGGCATAATTAGTATAACGTCTTCCTTGGACATAATGGCATTCATAGTTGGCAGTTGCAGGTCCCGCAACTTTTCTATCTTGAAAGTATCCTTCAAGGTTTTCTTCAACTTGGCGGACCATTCAAAGTCTTCGTTGTTCCAGTTCTTCTTGGACAGGGAAAAACTCTTCTTCAGGAGAGCATTGTCACGTAATTTCTCCTTGCGTTGGGTCAATATCCTCTTGCGATCTTCGAGTTTCTGCAGTTCACCCTCGATTTGCTGTAATTCGTAGTCGATGGCAGCTATTTCGTCATCCTCTGTGACTGCAAAGAGATCGAGAAAAAGAGTGTGAGAAAGTGATACATACGAATTCTCGCGAGACTGCGTTCAGCGAAACAAAGTGATCAGTGAGCAATCAATGATCACTTGTCATTACTGTCAGATCTCTAAATCTACCAATTGTGTTGAATTATCCAACTTTATTGTACTGCTGCGTTCGCTGAACGCACCCATTCATCTTTCACTGTCAAACTAACCTTGATATTCGTCATCGTCTAACATAATCACATCTTCTGTGCCACCGGCGGACATCTTGATCAACTGTTTAAATCTGTTTATTAAGATCACGTAGTTAACGCAAGATACATCTCATGGGTACGGTTATAACAACGACTATTTGCAATAGCAAATGCTCATTAGTCTAACTATGAGAAACCTGTTTCATCAAGGCACTAACATAACCTTTACACGCGTGGCGTCAGGTGATGCTGGTGATGCCGGCCGACGCCGGGTAACGCTGGGTATTTGACAATCAGCTGTTCTTTGATCGATTCGACTGTTTGTTTTCTTTGTAGCATCACGTTGGTATATTGTTATCAGAGAGAAAGAGAGAGAAAAAGAGAAAGAGAGGCAAGTATATGTCACTATCACCAGCGTTTGTCACAACCTATCAGCAGCAATCGCAACAAGTTGGATGAGTTGTAAATTTTATACGCACAAAAAAATCAAGTGCCACGTCGAAGACCTCGGTCGTCATGCTCGGTCAAGCTGCACTTCGGGTGTGCCCAACGTGGCTTGAAAGCAAACTCACATCTATATACTTTAGGGGTATCTGTTTTACATTGGTCTACTTGCGCTTTATATAGCTTTGCAAGCGGTATTGTGTTATCACGAGGCGATACAACTACTTCTGTTTTTACTCATCTGTTCAATTACTCTTTTGATTCATGTTGAAATTCGTATCGCACGCAAGTAATAAGAACACTATTTAAATATATGAAATTTAGTCATAAATTACACTTTTTACACGCATATTATTGTGTTCTTTTTCTATTTTTAACATTACAGTAAAGAGTATATCTTCCAACGGATTTGGTAGATTTCACAGTCTTAGCACAACAATAGATCATTCCAACATGAAAGTTCACATATTACCAGCGCTTCAAGATAATTATATGTACCTGGTATGTATTGTTTTGTCTGTTATGACATTTATGTATTTAAGTCTGAACAACATAACTTCTATTTCTATTCAATATTTGAAAGTGATAAACTTATAACATTTATTAAAAACAGTTATCAATCATAAACTATAGTATATAGTGTTTCTAACATTACCAAATGATAAAATAAATTTATATAGAACTCTTGTCATACTTTATTTTCTTTTTTAAATCTTGTAAGATTGTCGATGAAGCAACAAAAGAGGCTGCCATTGTGGATCCTGTTGATCCAGACAGTGTTGCTACTGCTGTGACACAAAATAATGTAAAATTGACAAAAGTTTTAACTACTCACCACCATTGGGATCATGCTGGTGGAAATGCAAAATTGCTGAAAACTTTTACTGATCTTCCTGTGTACGGTGGCGACGATAGAATAGAAGCTATTAACCACAAAGTTACGCACAATGATACATTCAATATTGGTAATTTATCTGTGAAGTGTCTGTCAACACCGTGTCATACACGTGGACATATCTGTTACTATGTCACGGGAGAAGGACACCCTCCATCTGTGTTCACAGGTAACGCTAAATATATAATCAAAACAAAATATGCGAATATTAAATATAACAATAAAACAATTCACGTTGAATTGCTTGCTGCAGGAGATACTCTTTTTGCTGGGGGTTGTGGGAGATTTTTTGAGGGTACCGCTGATCAAATGTACAAAGCACTTATTGAAGTTCTGGGCTCTTTGCCTGAAGAAACGGTAAGTTACTTAACTCTAATTATAAAAATACTGAATAAATTATATTCTTCAAACTTTAATTTCGTCTTTATTGCAAACAATTTTTATATCTTATAGGAAGTGTATTGCGGACACGAGTATACAACTAATAATCTGAAATTTGGTTTACACGTGGAACCTGACAATGCAGCAATTCAACAGAAACTGGATTGGGCAAATACTCAACGTAATAACAATATCCCAACAGTACCGAGCACTATTAAAGACGAGAAATCGACGAATCCGTTTATGAGGGTGCATGAGCCATCCGTTATGAAACACGCACAACAAAATGAACCTATCCAAACGATGTCGTATTTAAGACGCGAAAAGGACAATTTCAAGGCTTAACTTTCGACACAATACAGAAATATCTTCCATATATATATTCCATACATATACATATATATCTTCCATACCAATATATTTCCAAAATATGGTTTAAAAGGGACATGGGCCAAAGACTTTGTATCCATATTCACTCATATAAGAAAAAACTAATATATACAATATTTAGCATATATAATCTATATAAACACTGTTCATATACATATACATTAACTTGCCTTTGCTAATGGAAAAGTACAATTATAAGTTACTTATTTCTTATTATAAATAGATATTGTCATGTGTAAGTATTATGTAATATTTACTGGCACTTGACAAGGTGCGTCTTCAGTTTTTTTATTATATATTTGCATCTCCGCTACATACTTCTCTTTGGATCTTTCGTACATGTCATAATATACCTAAAAAAAAAAGCAACATGTTACAGGTATATTTGATGCTTAGAGTGATTATAAAAGTTAATACTGTAATGTACAATATTAAGAAATTTTACTTTTTTATCCTCAGAACTAAGTGATTTCCATGTAGTTGCAAGTTGTCTAGTTAATTCTTGTTTGCTAGGCTCTGGCTCTCCAGCCAAGCGTTCCATCACACGAGGTCTCTGTTCTTGGCAAAACTGGAAAAAGGGATTAGCAGGTCGTTTCGGCGCATTTGGATCAGCTTTTGCACCTTTCCTCTTGGTTCCCTTCTTGGGCTTCTCCTCTTTGGCATTATTGGAAGCGCCCTTCCCCCCTTTCTCCGATTTTGGAGTTGTTTGAAATACACTATTTTCCTCGAAGACACCCATTGGTGCTTCACGCCAACGATCTCCGTGTTGGTCCAATCGATCGATCAAAAATCTATCGATCAATGTCACAAATTTAAATGAAAACATGCACTAATTTCGAGTCTGTGAGTGAACCGTCCTAACCTAGAAACTAACTTTTTTTCTTTTCTTGTGCGTCGCAGGAGCTTTCTCACTCTCTGAATCCTGTAGACCAATCGTTCATTCTCCTGTAGTTTAAAAGAAGAAATTTGAGAATAATCATCCTACGGAATAGACTACGCTGATTTCGTATAGGTAGGAACAGTATTAACCTGCTGTAAGATCTCGCATCTTTCTAACAGTAATTGATACTTTTTCTTGTAGATGTCGAACTCCTCCGGCTCCACGTCATACTCGGACTCATCCGACATCGTAAACGCAGATTTTCACTGAATAAAACGAACCGGACGTCCCGCACTCTTTCACGCGCACATATTTACAGCAGCGTTTCTCTCTTCGAGAACATATCGTACTAACGCGCGACATTTTCGGCCATCTTCAGCGTATACAACGTCATCTAGGATTACTTTCGCCTTTCGAAAAGCTTCGCACGTAGCAAAGACCGCGATTTGCCGCTCTGCGTCAAAATATCAAGAAATATATTCTCGCACGACGAGCGACAATTTTCAAAAAGGAGCGCAGTGAAATTCGATGCCACGGAAAGATTGGAAAAAATTAAGTACGACTACAGGTACAAAAATACGATATATAATCTCACAGGTGATATTCCCGCTCTGTACGATCGAATCTGCGATGTGATCGAAATAACGACTACTTTCGAGGTTTGATGATTATTCTGTACATTGTTCAGATATATGTGATTATTGAAACGATTGTTGTAACGACAAAGATAATTACCAAAATACATAATATTCGCATAATAATGTTCATTACATCAAACAATAATGTTCGTTTTACAGCGTTTATCCGCGCAGTCTCATATACTACAACTATATCACACTAACATTAAATTTGAGAAGCTCTTAATTATGTTGCTAAAGTGGTAAAAATATTAACGTGATTTTAAAGTGTTATATATATATATATATATATATATATATATATATATATCCCAGGAAGTAAGGAACATTAAATTAACGTTTAGAAATGTTGACTTCATGTGCATTATTTGGACATTTTTTAATAATATTGCATTTATATTTTTCACATGTTATTTTGTGATATGATTTTTCTGAATGTTTGTTTAAACGTTTTAAAAATATTACAAAAAATATATTTTTCAAATGTTACTTTAATATTTATTTGAGATCAATGCAACATCTTAAAAATATTTCTGCCGATTAAAACGTAATGGCAACTCTATTTTAATATTATTGAAACTTCTAAATCGCGGTCAAAGTATATTCATAATGATACAATATTAAACATTACATATTTACAATATTACAGGTCAATATCATTGTAGCAACGTTATATTAATGATTTCTTGCTTACTGGAATATATATATATAGACACACACACACACACTTTCCGGAACTTTTAATAAACTTTAAACCAATATTAATACGACGTTTTCTTGATCCTTTAATTTAAAAGTTACCTTGTGATTAAATCAATATCTCATTCCATTCCCAAGTAGCACACATACGTTTTAGAAATGTTTTATAAACGTTAGAACCAAACCTTTCATAACTGTTTCCAAAACGTTTCATAACGTTTCCAAAACGTTATGAAACGTTTTGGAAACATTTTTCATGAATAAAAATATCCACTCAAAAAACGTTAGGTGAAACGTTATTTTTGCGAAAAAAATCGTTGAAGAAACGTTTTATAAACATTTTAAAACGTTTTATAAACGTTTTATAAATAAGGTTTCAGAAGGGTTCTTGTTAAAACGTTTTTTATTGGTGCTTTACGGTTCTGAAATTATAGATACGTTTAAGAAACGTTTCTGATACGTGTATGTGCTACCTGGGTTATTTATCAAAATATAACTACTTTATCATTTGAAGCTAAAATTTCTACAACATTATCCTCTTGTCCACAACCTTGCTTTAATCTTTAATAAATTAACCAAGAATCGATTATTTTAAAAATAATCGACTATGTTTGATCAATGTCTTAAGAATTAAAGCAAGATTGTGGACAAGGAGTATATTTCTATGTAAGAAAATTTAATTTATTAAGATATTATAACAACATTTTAATAATAATAGCATTAACATTCGATGCTATGTGCGATGTCGTCTGCTCCTTTGTTAAATCACACACGATCTTATTTACTTTTTTCTTACGATAACAAAGTTAATATTTATAGATAAAATAATTATATATCGTTTTAAAGTTTCGGCGCTTTATGATCTCGATACACGCACTTGGCGACGAGAGTGCTTATTGCGTATCAGATGGCGATCGAGAGAATTATAAAAACGCATCTGCCAATTAATTCAATCGCGATATTAAATGACATTTAAGAGGGGTGAGATTTAACACCCGATATACGACGTATCGTAAAGTGCGTTTTGATTTCGAAACGACATTTCCTTCCAAGTCACTTTATTGTAATAAAAAATAAAATAATTTTAACTATTTATTTCTTAACACAATATTAATTTCTTGACGTAATATTGACATAATTTCTGACTATTTATTTCTCTTGCTGCGTCTATTACATTAATATTTTGCAATTATTTCAGGAAAGACATCAGTAAATACGGTGTTGCGATACAAGAATATCTCTTTTAAAGATATTTTCAACGTCGAAAATGATAGTCGAAAAAGATACAAAACGCTGTGCCGATCTCAGCATTTTCGAGTTGTCGAAAGGGTTTCGAGCAAGGGTGAGGAAAGCTCAACGGTTAGAACATTTCAACGTAGTTAATTTAATAATGTTATTACTGTAATTCTATTAGTATTCTTACTGCAGCATCTGCAATAACTAAGACACGTTATATAGAATGTAGATCACTTGAATATGTATATCTATAAATTTGTAGGTCACACTGTATGTATAAGTTTACACGTACATCGGCGTCTAATTGCTGGAAGTCAGTCGGTCAGCCCACATCGAGGAGTCAGTTAAGCTGATACAAAGATTTGTTTGCATTCTTAACATTCCTATATTGATTAGCAGAGCTTCTATCTGTAAGAGCATAAACAGAAGGTATCAAATGTAACTTGAGGAGAAATCTCTTAGTCATACAACGGCCATTAAAGCCCCAGGTCAATTTTCACTCGTAGCCGCATGAAATTCGCATGACAAGTCGAACTTTACGAGTCAATTGTCGCGCGATTTCTTTTCGTACGTGAGATCGCGTCGCAGTTGACAAACAATCTTATTTACTTCGCGATTACCCGGCACTGAATGAACGGAGGTCTTATACTTGTCTCATTGCCCTGGCATAGTTTCAAGGTTCAAATTGAGCTGCTATTACGACGAACGGTGTTGGCGCGTGATATTAAAAAAAAAAAAAGAAAAAAGGGAGAAAGAAAAATCTTCCGTTCCTTATTCGACAGCTCCACTCAGGTGTGCTCTTTTTGCAGAACTCGACGGTGGAAACGAGGAAAAGTTTGACACGCTCCTCCTCCTTCTCCTCCTCGCCGACAGAACGTACAGCGGTTGCTGAGAACGGCCGCTGCGGGAAAATTTGGATTCGGGACGAGAATAATAGCAACATAGATGTACGACCAAGGCGACGGCTGCGGCTGCGTCGACGTCCGCTGCGTCGGCGTCGGCTGCGTCGGCTGCGGGGACCATGACAAGAGGGCGACGAGGATATTCCGTAAGGTGCGCGCGCAGGCAATCGTCAAAACTCACCCTTGGCTCGTGCTGCTGCTGCTGCCGCCGCCGCTGCTACTGCTGCTGCCGCTGCCGCTGCCGCTGCTTCTGGCTAGCTGTCGCGCGAGCAATACCGAGCGCAGTGGTATTAGTTTTCTGGTGCGCGCGAATCGCGCTTCTTTAATCAGCTTGTACGCTCTCAATCGTCGATCGCGGCCCCGAGTAATTCGCATATCGATTTTATCCGGTGGTTTCTGTCCATCTTTCTGTCTCCCTCTCGGTCGCGCGCGCGCGCTTATTAATTTCCCTGCGTCTTATTCTCCTTTGGCGATTGCCAGCAGTGAATTCATTTCCCGCGCGTACCATGCGGCTTACCGCAGTTTTTTAGCATCGGTTCCAGGACGGAGAACGAGCATCGGTGAGTAGCGCGCCTCGCTGTTAAATCGGTATTATCGCACACCACGTTGTCAATGTTCCGGAGATATTGAATCCGATGCGCCGATGCGGACGGCGAATACGACGTCGTACATCGCGGACACGACGTGGCCGATGTGCCGCACGATGTGCTACGAGCGTGCAAGCGTTACGGAACCTCGCTGCGCTACGGATCAATAACAGCCGTTGCGGTTATGGTAACGCGACCAGCTGATCGACCGATATTAAATTTTATTCGTGTGCGTTACTCGCGCGAATCGCCGCGGTGTCACTCCCGCATTTGCTCTCGCATACGCAGAGGCAATCACGATGTACGACGTATTCGTGGATCCGCATTCGCGCGAGACGCGAGTCGGATGCGAACGAACAGAAGAGTTGATTTGCCTTCGCTCCAAAACTTCGCAACATTTGCGAAAAAAACATTCGCATCTACTTAACTCTCCTTCTCGCTTTCCGTCCCTTTCTCTCTTTCCTCCTTCTCCTGCACTTTTTTTCTTTTTCTTTCTCGCTCTCGCTTTTCAATGTATACTCCGCTCAAGTGAAATGTGCATATCTCGTAGAAATATTTCTCTCGTATCTGAGTCGAGATTTTGATTCTACTTTCGATCTCTGTACTTCACTCAATATCTATTTGATGCTCTGAAGCGTATATCAACCTCTATTGATGTTACTTAGGATTTCAACTTCTTAGTAAATTAACTGATATTTAAATCATATATCTGTCCTTGTAAATTGAAGGAAAAACAAAAAGACATATGATTTAACTATCAGTTAACTTACCAAGAAGTTGGAACAACCGGCCCTTAACCTGCTTGCTTTACTTAGGGGTCTTCTTTAAAACCTACAAGTGGCATTCTATGCATTTTCTGCCATTTAGGGCTGATTGTTCCAATCTCTTGGTAAACCTAACAATTAAATCATGTGTCTGTCTTTGTCCTACTTGAAGGAAAAACGAAAACAGACATATAATTTAACTGTCAAGTAGTTTACCAAGAGGTTGAAACAATCGACCCTTAGATGCGCTGAGGAGGGTTTCAGTTGTAATACATCATGTGTATTACACATACGCTGATCAGAATATACAGATGTTAGAAAGTTCAAGCCCAAAGCAGAGCTATAACAACTCGAGTAAATGCGTTGATTTTCGAATGTAATAACGAATAGACGAGAGAAAAATATTCCCTGATTTATTATTTATTACGCGTTAACAGTTCAGATACCATGAGTTTTTCTGTAGCGTGCCATCATATCGAGCGCATTATCATCTCTCCGCTTGCAACGTTCGATGTCTTATCTCTCTTTCTCTCTCTCTCTCTCTCTCTCTCTCTCTCTCTCTCTTTCTTTCTCTATGTATGAATAAGAGTTAATTTAATCGGTCATACAGGAAAAGTGCACCGCATTCGTTGCGAAGCAACGACGAGGCAGTCGAGAAAACGGCGATTCTCGCGTGCAAAGGGTCACGCGTTTATTCGCAAAGCGAATTCTCGACTGCGTCGAGGGTGTACTTGAAGTTTACCTTTCGATTGCATTACGTTGCTCCCGTGATGAGAGATCCAATTTCACACGGGTGCACGAACGCTCGTAGCAGCGAGAGCGCATTTACATCTAACATCTGATATTTCTTTGATACGTCCCGATTAACCAAGACCAATTAAGCGCCGTCGGGGTGTTTGACGGTCGCAGCGATTAATTGCCGTCGCTCAACGGAATTACATCGCTCGCTGCGGCGGATTGTTCAATTCCGTATTTTTGATCCGCGATCGATCGGATCGCGACGACGCGTCGCCGCTCGCTCGTCAATTTTGCCACGTCGATCGGAATGACCTGGGCTGCGTTCTAGGACGAATAGCGAAGTTAATTCAATGTCGTTCCGAAATATAGTGTAACGTATATATTCTTTGGGAGGAACTAAATTAAAGTAATTTAGGAAGAGTCTAATCGTTTAGAAAGTCGGAGTTAACGTTTATGAACTTTGCTTCCAAGGTGGTTTAGAAAAGTATACAGTTGAGATTTATACTATTTATACATTTATACTGCAATTCTAGACAAAATCGTAAAACTCGTAACTTATTTTCGTAAGACTCGTAAGAACTTATGAGTAGATCTGCAATTCTATGCGGACCGTATGTCATATGATAACTCGTAAATATCTACGATTTTTTTTTTTCGTAAGCTACGACTTTACGATTTTATGATTTACTCGTATATTTGCTTAGAATTACAGCATTAGTTGGAGAGAAAAGAAAGAATTAGTGTCAGTTAATATAATGTAACGAAAAAGAACAGATGACTCTTTCCTGTTCAAAATCTCTTGAAGCTGATAACTTACTCTGGTCTGTTTTCCATTCTCTGTCACACCGACTTTTATAAAATTGTCTGGGTAAAGTTTCGGAATGCGGCCCCGGAGGTCGATGGTTAATACAATGATAAAAATGACTAAAGTAATAAAAATGACTAAAGTGGGCGAATTCGCTGAGTGTTGACCAATGAAATTGTATATCTTTTAGTAACTTCGTCCACTTTTCTAATGTTAATACAAGTTATGTTATTACACAGTCGGCCCGTTGATGTTCATTGAGAGCGAGGCGATCCGCGGCCGACTCTATCGTAATCGGCCGTATCTCGCCCGCGGCAGGCGCAGAATACAGTCGGCATTTAAACGAGGCCGTATTTACATTCTATATTTACTGCGATCAGGCTAATAAACGTGCCGGTCGTACGCGGGCCTTATTAGGTGGACGACCCGTGCACGATAGCGATCGCGTGTATAGTCTCGCGCGCGCTCGATTTCGCTGGGCGATGCAATCACCCGCGTAACGTAGGGAACAAGGCGCACGAGATGCGGGACGATATTGAAAACGACACTTCCTCGCGCGGTCATTCCTTCTTTACGCAACAATGCAGCGTATGCTCGCACTTGCGGATTCCGCGGCAATATCTCGCCCATGTGTGCTCACGCGATCGTTATCGCGAGTGCGAGCGCTTCGATTTCACGTTCCCGTAAACACGAAGATTAAACATTCATAAGCGCACCTGTCACTTTGCGTTTTCTGACACATTTGTTGCCGGATACGCGCGCTAATATTGTCGGCTTTCGGTACGATACACTGGTCGCAGCGTTACTCACAAGATTAAAGACGCGATCGTTCCGTTACATTCCTCGCAAACACTCCCGGACATTGTGCTGTTCCGCGCTTAAGGGGATGCTGGATGCCGCGGCATAATGTGGCTTCGCGCACTGAGAGAAAAGATATCTAAAGGATAGTAAATATTTATTCGCTGGCTGCCCTGGTAACGTATTTATTTGTACCAAGAGAAAATATTTTTTAAGCCACAAGACAGACATTTTTTTAAAACCTTAAGGAAATCTTGGCTTCTCATGAAAGCAATTGTTTATCCTACTTGAATGAAAGAATTTTAATTTATGTTGCTGTGTGGTATCCACCAAAGAAATGTTCATTATTTTTTAGATGTGTTTTCTCTCAGTGTAGAGAATATCATAGTTGTTTCCTTTTTTCATATAAATTATTTTCAGTTTCACTATTCAGTTTTACTATTTTTCTAGTAGTACAGGAATAGATTGAGATGTCTTGCTTTAAAGAACATAATAAATTTTGCTAGAAACATAACCAATTTTGTAATAGCACACATTTTAGTTCTTAAAATATAAGTAGCATATATTCTGTTCTTGGCAATGTAGCTAAAGTAAAAAAAAAAAAAAATATATATATATATATAAGTAGCACATATCAGATGAAAGATAATTACCACAAAATGCCGATATATTTCTCAGTTACAAAATTTTATAATAATTTTTATTATAGAATTTTCTCTGTGCAGCTTGCACTGGTTTTCTATTTGGTTGCACAGGACTATAAGTGCTTTCACACACAATAAAGGTATAAATGTCAATACATGGAGAGGCATCAAATACTATATCAAAAATACAAAAAGATTTTATAAAAAGAAAGAAAGAAATTTTTTTTTATTTTTGATGCAATATTTCGTACATCTCTCCATACATTGACACTTGTCCATACATTTCACTCTATGCAAAAGCATCTGCAATTCTATGAAACCAAGTGGAAAAAAAATATAAAGTGCGAAACTGCATTATATCTTCTTGAGCGGCTAGCAATTAGAATCGCGACAGCGTCGTGGCTTCGACTGTTACATCGAGTCGACTGTAAGAATTGTCATGGATGGAAATCTGGCTTGTTTGTGTGCACTTTAATTGCACTTCTGTAATGCTGTTTTTAATGAAAAAACCGAGGATGATTTCCCTATCGACTCGTCGGTGGAAAATTACTCGAATCGACGCGCAGATTTGACCCTTGGGTTGCGTAGAAATTAATTACACAGTTTGAGCAGCGATTTCTTCGAGAAAGGAAAAAAGGAAACCCCTCCCGCGACGTGCTAATCGTTCTGTTTGTGTCTCTCGCGAAATGTTTTACGTGGAAATCCACGTTTCTTTGGAAACTTTCCAGGATGCGCGAGCTCTTAAAAAAGAACCTCACGATCGTACGACGACATTCACGTGAGAAGGACGTGGTGGGTGTCAAGGGTGTCGTGCTTAATTTATCTTTTAATCGCGCGGGATTCCCTTGGACGAGCTGAAGAAAAAGAAAAGCGCTGAAAGGATTAGTATGACACGTGTGTCGCTGATTCAGTTAGCGACGTATGAAGGAATGGTGATATCAATAGATCATTATTTTTTCCTAACGCTAAGCCGGAGAACACGATAAGACCCGCCACATAGTTACAGAGATGCGCTTATCGACAAGTTAATAATGTGGCATAAACGAGCAAATGATGGCAAAAACTAGCAGGTAGATAAACCAGTAGGCGAATGCTGCTCGTCTCTGTAACTTATATTATACTCGTTTCTTTTTCAAACAAACATTCTCTCTCTCACTCACTCAGTCCCTCGACACGCCTGAACTTCTCGTTATCGCTTGGCGATATCGCTGCAAAAATGTACGGTGGAGAAAGTAATAACGGAATAATGAAGAGATCGTACGCGTGAATGATGTTATTGTTATTCGCCAAAACGCGCTTTGCAATCTCTGCTCATGCATAATTAGATTTTTCACGTTTGCCTGCACGGTTTCGTTAGAATTCCTGAAGAAATCGACGAGAAAGAGTTTTTGGGTCAAATAATGAGAGGGCTTGTGTAACGCACATGATTATTCTATAAAACATAAAAATAAGAGGAGAAGAGTATACATGAGAGAGAAAGAGGGAGGGAGAGAGAAAAAGAGAGACAAAGAAACTGTGTGTCTTATCTATACTACGACATGTGATAAGCAGCGACGATACAACTGGAGACGATACAATTATTCGAATCGCCACGTCGCCAGGCCGGAAAATACTTCGAAGAATCCACATTATTCTTTCCGTATTTGCGCGCACATTTTCCGGCCGAAGCGCGCAGCAAAAATTCCCGTGCGCGATCGCGTCGACGAACGTCAGCTGACCTTACGTAATCAATTTTAGAGCCGTGTGCTCCACTAAAGAGACAGAGAGAGAGAAAGAAAGAAGGAGAGAGAGAAAAAGAGAAGTGAAGCTCGGAACTTGAAGCTTCGATCGTCGCCGCTTTTCCTGCCCGCTCTCGAGCACCCTTGCGATCGAGTAGTGGCGGTGCAAAATGAGCGACGGAACGGAGAGATCGCGTTCGATCGCGCCAAGGAAGTTCGGCGGATGGGACCATGCTGATCGCAGAACGCGGTCGAGGAAGAGGAAAGGCGGGCGAGCAGACGAAGTCGCAATCTCCGCGAAATTAACACGAAAATTCGCAATGCACGGAGCCAGACGTAGAGTCGCGGCGTGCCACGCCGCGCCGCGTCGCGTCGTGATGCTTCATAAGATCGGGACGTATATACATCGTGACGAAACACGTTCGAAGCCAATGGTCATATGTATCAACGAGAGCGGTACCAGCAGCTATCAGTATTAGCCCGGTCATCCTCCTGTGCGCGCAACGCGCAGCGCGCAACGCCGATCGCGCGGCGATCTCCTCGCTGAGAAGAAGAAAGAAAGAGAGAGAGAGAGAGAGAGAGAGAGAGAGAGAGAGAGAGAGAGAGAGAGAGAGAGAACCTCCGGTATTTGTGCGCGCAGAAAGCCACGTCGTGCCTCGAGAGAAAGATATCGTTCTCTCAGCGACGACTCGGTGTCGTCGGACAAGCTGACGAACAGCCGTTCCTCAAACCGTTCTTCTCGGCGAGCGGAGCGAATGCTGTTGCAGCGTGTGACCGGGACACGTTAACGTTTCACCGTCACCATCGTCGTCGTCGTCGTCGTCGTACAATTGTGACAACACCAACGTCTTGCCCCGCGATGAGATTTCGCGGGAACTGGGAACGCCGCTTCGCGAACGCGGGGTCCGACCTTGTGCAGAACCCGAGCGATAGCGCGAACAGATCGCGCGCTTTTCACTGCGCTCAATGTTAGTGCTATTGAGTTCGTTGTTAGTACTGAATATAACATGCGGGAATTCATGATAAGTTATCGCTAGCTCGGTCACAAATAGCTTCTCTACACAATTTCCTCGTTTCGCAAACCGGATTGCTCGATTCCGCCCGACTATCGTGCTCGTTAAACTTTGTCGCCAAAGACGGGAGAGAGGCTCAACACCAGCGACCGACACACCACCGTCCATCATGGTTCGTCAGAGCTTTGTCTTATTGTTTGTTCTACATTTTCGCCGCGAGGCTTTCTTCTCGCCGACGCCTGAGAGAGCGTCTCTCGGTGATATCGACAGTTGAATACGAGTAATTAGTCGCGAATTTGTCGCCGAAGTCTCCGAGACGTTTCGGTCGTTTCGTGAATTCAGAAACTCGCCGACTTCTTGAGGTCGTCAGGATTGAGAGAGATCGCCCAATGGTCGCGATTAATTAACAGCCGTTGCCTTGGAGTTGGCACAAATGTATTGTTTGTTAATGTCGAAGATAGATTCGCAATTGAAGGTGTCATGTGCGCGTGCACTATCGCGGATACGTGATAAAAAAGCGAAATGTGGATTCAATGTGATGCAGAAATCATTGTCTTCGCTTTGAGCGACAGCGCTGTCGAAGATAATGCGTTGTCTACAATGGCAGTAGAAGTAGTAATAAGAAATGAGCAGTAAGCAAATTAACCAATTCCATTTTCACGATTCAAGAATAATCGATTGTGATTGGTCCATTTACTTATTGCTTATTTCTTACTACTACTCCTACTGCCATTGTAGATGACAATGACATGATTATGCAACACGGGGCAGCAGAATTTGTATTTATAAATGCAAGCGCGCAGGAAGATATTAACTCGTTAATTACAAACATTATTTCCGTTTCATTGGCATCAGCTATAAGTCTTTCTCATGCATTCGATTTGTGCGGTTAGAGATTTTATATATATATCTTAAAGTAATTTGCAAGAATTTGCAATAAGCTATCGCACTCAATATCGGCCAGTTCGCTAAACAGTTTCTCCCTTTTTTTTTCTCGTGTTTTCCTCCATTTTTATATTTTCTTCGATCAACGTTCGGCATTAATCGAGTAAAACTTTCTTCTACTAAAATAACCGGCAAATCAGTAATCAAAATTAATCAATCGTCACGTACAGGGATTTGACGCAAAGTGTCCCATTCGCGCACATATAGATTAAGTCAATTGAACACAACATTCTTCTGTCATCTTGCAAACGACCATGTAAAATTTTGAGTCATTGATTAAAGAAGATTGGCAAGTGATCATGCGCAGATGAGCTATTACAGCAGTCGTGTGCTTGTAGATTAATCCAAACTGAACAAGAAAGTCCTCTATCATTTTTCAAATAACCACATAGACTTTTGAGTTATTCATTAAAGAAGATTAGCGAACGACCGCGCGCGATAACGCACCAAAATGTCCTTTGATTAATAACTCAAAATTTTGTGGAACTGTTTGCAAAATGACAGAGAAATTTTGTGTTTAGTTGAACCTGGTCTATATGTACACGAGATATAGGGCGCTTTGCGTGTCAGACACTCTGTATAGAATCACACAAGTTCATCGATTGATGAGATTAATTAGTAATCAAGCTTTGGAGTGACTAATCACACACACTAATTGATAATTAATTTCGCCAATCGATTAAATTATTCGTGATCACACATACATGACAATTGACCCATTATAATTGTTGATTTGTGTTAGTCGAGAAAAATTTTCATCACTTTCATTGCCCAATACTGCCGCCGGTGAGCTTTTTTACATATATTTTTCTAAATACGAATCACCTGGTCAAACACGCATCGTGTCTTGTTTGCGTTCACGGAACATCTTTTGATGGTAGAACGATAACAAGTATAACAAACGTGGTGTCGCAAAAAGTGATGCAAAAGTCTGAGCGCGCATCTATCTCTAGACATTCTTACTATTTCGGTCTGTAAATACGAATATTTAAATTTTACACATAAGAAACACATATATACTGTTATTATGCCATTATTATATATTCCACGTTGAGAGTGAAATATTTACAATGAAAAAAATGGAAACAACAAGCTCAGAGTTGGATATATATCCAGACATCGGTACCTTACAAGCGTCTAAATAGAAACACGAACGCGGGGTATAGTTTAGTACGATCGACGTTTCGCTGCGGATTAACACACATTATCATTCCACGTGGTTCGACGTTCTTTTTCAAATGTCGATAACGATTAACGAAGTTTCAGTCTTCCGGTCGCGACGTACTATTGACGTCGGCCGATAAACCGCCGTCAAACCGCCGCCGTCGTCGTCGTCATCATCAGAGTGTTAAGTGTGTTGAGTTTTTCCCGCTCATCGATTACGAGCCTCGCTCCGATAAATCCGCGAGAATCGATCGCCGACTGACAATCTCCTTACGATCGCGACCCGATCGCCCGATCGGGTTCTCCGTAACGCGCGTCTACCACAAGAGGCCTCGATCTTTTTCCCGATCTTTATGCCTGGCACTCGACAGATTACTCGTAATTTGCGATCGTCTGTCGCTTCAACTGGATTACAATGACAACGAGCGCGCGATGATAGCGAGTGATTAGATAACAGACGCGTAATTACATGTCCTGTGAATCGCGTACCCGCCGCGAGACCAATTAAATTACAGCAGACGTCTTCGCGTTAGCGCGTCCGAGTTGCGCGGGGGACGCGGGCAGGAAGAGAAGAAAACAGAGAAATGAAAACGGGATAAAATGCCGCGCGCCGGTTGGATTTAGACCGAGAACGTGCCCCGGTTTACCGTCCACGGGCACGTAGCCAGGATTGCGCAAAATTTTCTCGGCCAAAGCCGCCTAATTCTTCGTTACCGCGCTCGCCATGAGAGCCCAACTGTCGCTAGGAGACAACGGGACGAGTAAACACGTTCGAACTGTCTCTCTCGCGCGGGCTTTGAAGATACATCTGGAGACTCGGGGAGCGCGCAGCTTGACTGAATAATATGGAGGAAATCGCGAACGACGGCTAATCGAGCGTGCTGATGATTCGTAGACGTCGAGATCTGAGTCAGAATTTTAGCCTTATTTTGGATGATCCCTGAACCTTTCAACATCTGTATATTCCGGGGGATCAGGGTAACACACATGGAAACTGAAGCTCAGCGTTTTTAGATGACAGAGAGTGCATAAAATGCCGCTTGTAAGTTCTAAAAGGGACTCCACGACAAAGCTAGCAGGTTAAGTAGCATCAGCAGAGGTTGATATAGGCTTCAAAGTAAGCGTTCAGTGGAATATTAAGGTCGACAATAGGATCAAAATTTCAGCTCGGTGTGGGTCGCGAGATTTTTATCGACGTTATTGTTATCGTTATTATTTACAGCGACCTGTCGAAGCACGAATTTTTTGACATCGAGCACATTCGTTCGCGATATTCTCACACGTATATTTCGCACTCAGAAGTGAATTCTCGTACTCTCCACATTCTCGCCGTATTATTTTCCTCACGTCAAGTCGCGTCTTCTTGTGTGCGAAACGTCACACGTATTATACAGAAGCGGACGTTAATTTCATTAAATGTAGCAGGCGTCTTATTTTCTAATTGAATTCTCTATCCTCTTGTGTATTTCGTATAAACGCGCGTTGCTCGTTTTCATAGTCGCAGTGTCGACGATAAGAGTTTTCTACGTAGCTTTATCTCCGCCAGAGTTGCAAATTCCCTTATATTTCACTAATTCGGTCTCGAGAATCTATCGAATTGATATGCACTGTTATTGTATCAAAATATAATTCTCGCTCTCCCGGCAAACACAAACACAAAACAAACAAAAACAAAATGTTCGCTCCTCTCGCGCACTCGACTTGATCTATGTTCCGCGATATTTACACGCGGCACGTAGCGTTCGCGTGGTAAAGATCCACGTAAAAAGTTAAATGACCGTCTTCCTTTGAGTTAAGTAACCTGGACAAGATGTAGGTCAACGTTAAATCCACGAATTAATTTTAACAAACACGGTAAAAGATAAATCGGAAGAGCAGCGAGCCCGTAATTGCGACATGAAAGTCGTAATGTAACGCAATTAGTCGGCTTGTTAACGTCGAATTGGCCCGTGCATAAATCTACCGAGATTGTAACGTAAGAGCCGAGATAGAAATGTTTGACGAAGAAGAATATGAAAATTTACTCCCCTTGCACGTGAAATGTAGAAAGTGACAAGAGTCGATATAAATATTCACTCTCGCGACGATTTGCAATTTTATAATTAGGGAAAAATGTCTAATAACCGGCACTCGTTACTGCACTCCTCAGTTTTTGACACCCTTGCACGGACCCTGTCAAACATCAAAGTGTATATGGGGATTTATTAATTATTTATTAACTATTTATCAATTTTTATATTTATTATTTACTCCTATTCGTTTTCTTTTACACTTCGTACATCTTAATAGTCGAAAACAAGTGAAGAGTGCCGACTCCTGCACATTTTCCCCTATATATTCAGCGACCTTGAGCCTCCAGTTGAAGTTCTAAACTTTAAAGTTCTTATTCTGAACTCTCTTTCATCGGTAAAGTCGCTTATAAATGTGACTTCTTAGTGGCTTGTAAGCACATTTATTGGCACTTTCATCGATAAAAGGGAGTTCAGAATGAGGGCCTAAGAGTTTAAGTCTTAAAGCTTTCGGGCCGTTCCGATGCTATGCGCGGCGACAATCGTATGCGCGTCAAATTCCGCGTTGCGTTGTGCGTTGCGTCGCGTTGCGTCGCGTTGCGTCGCGTCGTGTGGCGTCGCGTCGACACTGACCCTTTGGCAGTCGTGCGCACTTGAAATTTTCGCTCGCCAATAATTCGACTTTGAGGAACGAGATCGTAGCCGGTGCGACGGCCGGAGCAGGAGGACATGGAAGAGATAGAAAAGATAGCGGATCGCGCGATACACGCGCGATCATCGTGGCCACCGTTGAATCCCTAAATTGATAGCAACTCATACACAATGAGCTTCATTTATAATCGCTGACTCTAACTCGAGCTACTTCGGCCGGTTACGAAATGCCAGAAGCGAGTCACGCCGTCGAGTGTCTTTGCCAAACATCGAACTTGGTGCGTCTAATAATGCTCGGGAATGTCGTTTTAGCGAGTAAATATAGCCGTACGAAGCATTTTTCCGCAATCGTGTGCGTCACTTTGATCGTATTATTATATCGTGTCTTTCTGGTGGCAGAAGGCGATGCGCGCGACAAGAGATTCGATTTGTGAGACGTTATTGAAACAACAGCTCTTCCCGTCGCAGACATTGTCATAGGAAAAGCGATAATATACAAGCGCCGCGCATCTCCGTGCCGTTTGTCTCCTCGTGCGACATCGTGCGATCCGGTCCCGACGATATCCCGATTTCCGATTGCCTCCTCGATGAAATTTCACTCGAGAACTGGGAGCGACAGTCGAGTCACTCGAATTCGAGTGATTTCCAACTCGTGCAAAGTGAACTCTACACTCTCCGTCGTCGAGTGAATATTTTCGCTCGAATCTGACGTATTCCGGTGTCTTATATTGAGTAAATTCACTTCCATTGATAGAAACGTTCGCTTGCGAGAAATCAGAATCCATTCTAAACTTAAGCGAAATATCTATTCTTACGATTCCGAATCAAGGCAGTGTCTTCACGATCGTTCCGAGTGGATTTTTGTTCTTTTGAGTGAGACTTCACTCTGAAAAATTTAGAAAATAGAAGAGCATGTACTCTTCAAATTTTTTGGAGTGGAATGTCACTCAAAACGAGTGAAAAGTAGCAATATTTTCACTATAGTTTCCAGTGAAAATACTGCCGCTCAAAATCGCAAAAGTGAACGTTTTACTCAAGCTTGAAGTGAATTCTGACTTCACATAAGTGAACATTTCACTCGATTAGAGTGGATATATTGCCGTGATAATAGAGCACAATAGATTTACTTTTTAATCCTGAGTAGAAATATTTACCTGACGATTCAGAGTGTAGAATTTACCATGCACGAGTAAAAAATCACTCGAGCCCAAATAGGCACTCTCTTTTTTACTCCAAGGAATTTAAAGAATAATAATTATATACACATAGAAAAGTATTATTCTACTGTCAAGAAGAGTTATTACTCAGTTCACTTTCCTTCTTTTAAGCAATAGTTATCTTTTAAGCAATAGACCAAAGAATATTTTCTTGATAACTTTGCAAAAATTTCAGAAAACTTATTGTTAATCCCAAAAGAAGAAATTATTCTCTTTACAAAAATATTATAAAACTTCATCGAGGCAAAAGTTGATGCGACTCTATACTCAGTAAGCAAATTAAATGTTTGCTTTAATTTAGTATTTCCGATTGGAACGTTAAACTTACTTGAATGCAGTATGTATTTTTCTATGTGTAGAGAGACGCGCGAGACACAGTCGCTTTTTCGAAAAATTGCAAACTCTTAAAGCTATGCAAGCTTGTTCGGATAATACTGAAGTAGCTACGTGACGCTGATAATTTATGAGTATCGCTGACAGTTGGCTTCTTGTTGCAGAATACAACGCGAGAACCGAAGCCGTACGTTTCGCCGCATGGGTGCCTGGGTTGACGATCGTTTCGCGGAGGAGGAGGCGGTCCCAAGTAATCAAAGTACCAGTTGGACTTGGAGAATCCGAGGCCACGATTGCAATGGTGGTGGACCATTGCATGGTCGATCGGGTGCCGACTATCAACCGCCAACAGACAGCTTCACGTCGATTTGGTTGTCAGCATCCCTGCTACCGTTGCGCCGTCAGTTCACCAGGCAGCTCTACGAGTGGCCTTGTTTACCGTTGTTTAAGTCAAGGACGAAACTAGATCTCTGCTGAATCGATCATTCCGTTGAGAACGAGAGGGCCGATTTCCCGAGTTTTTGTTGTCGCGTGTGTGCTTATCGTTTGTATGTGTGCGTGTGCGTGCGTATCGTACGGAAGCGGCGTCGAGGAGAGAATAGCTGGATCGCCTGGAAGCCCGTCGTCACCGCCGCAGGTGATTACCGAAAGTGCAAGTCGCCAGCACTCTTCGTCCCATCAGCATGGCCGAGTGGACCAAGTTCAACAGTGAGGACAAGTTGACTCGATTGACCGACGAACGAACGAATAACGGCAAGATCGTAGAGCAGTTGTACGTCGTGGAATTGAACGGAGATGAAGGTCACAACGAGGTGTCACGTATGTCGAACGATCGAGGCGAACGCGATCGGAATTACGACGAGACGATCGCGGACTCTAACTCGGCTCGGGAGTCGGAGAACGCCATTATATTTCGAAGTAACTCCGAGTCGATGGAGAAGCCGCGAACACAAGAAGAACAAGAAGAGGAGAGATTCATAGAAAACAACGAAGCTGTGGAATCAAGGACGAAGGAAACAGGCGTTAGGCTGCGTTGGGAAGCGCGTCAGGAGTTGAAG